AAAAAGCAAAACCAACAACCAAAAAAAAAAAAAAAGACAAAAAAAAAGCAACCCAAAAAACCCGCGGCCGCGCAGGTGTCGGAGCGTTGGGCGCTGATTGAGAGAAGCAGATGGCTGCAGTCGGTGGCCGCCAGCCAGCGGAGCAGGTGCTGGTCACGTGGCCGCGGGTTGCCAGGGCGATGCGAGCGCTCTCGGCGCGCAGATGAAAGGCCGGGGGCCCCGCTTCAGCTGTAGCATTGTGTAATTTGTGGCAGTTAGAGCGGAAATAAACGCTGGAAATGGAGCCGCGTAGCAGGGGAGACTCCCGGCCATGTGCGGCCTGCGCCGGGCGGCCGCGGGAGGCAGCGGCTGCGGGCTGTGCTCTGCGCTGACGGCTCCGCTCCGGGCGGCGGTGTCGAACTTCTTCCACCCACCCCCCCTTTTTTTTTTAAATTTTTGGTAGAAAACTGTCACATTTTGAGGTGCTTCCTTCTTGATAGGAAAGCTTCAGTGCCCTGTAATTGCCCTGTACTAAGAATTTGTTTTCAAAATTGCTTTTTTTATGTTAACTTTTTAACTCAGTGTCTGTTGAAACACATTCACATCCCCCCTCCAGCTACCCAATATATGCACACAAATACATATATGTATATAAAACTATATTCAGAAACTTCAAATTACTGCTCCAAAGTGTGCCTCCGGTTGACCATTGTGCGGGAGAAACAAATGCAGAGCGTGTCCAAGGTCTGGAAGTGATGCAGAAGAGGAGGAGAAGCTGCGTTGTAGTGGCTACAATAATGTCTGGGGTTGGTACTTTCTGGTCACCAGGTAGTGGTGCACAACTGCACACCAGCAGCTTTTCTTTAAATGTGTCAGCAGCTCTGCAAGCAGCAGCTGTCAGGGCAGTGCTAGGCCTGAAGGGTCTGTTGAAAACCCACCCAGCCTCTGGAACCGAACGTGCTGGTGATGTTTAACTTCCAGCATCACTTCGTACCCTTTGCTGTCTAAACATTGTGTCTCTGTTGCTGGAGATCACCTTCACAGCTCGGCTTGGTGGCAGTGTGTTAAAAGCTGGGCTGTGGTATGGGAACCCGGAGCTTCCTAAGATTGTGATGTGGTCAGAAGGATGCAGTCCCAGCTCCTTCATGGTGGATATTTTCACAAAGAGTGACAGGAATGGACTCTAAACCTCACTCTGTCAGCACTAGATATAGCTTGCAGATGCTGAGATATTAGTTTTTTTTCCCCCCTCACCAGAGAAACAAAGATAGAAAACCTGTGTTGAAGTGTTAAGGTGAGCTAGCCAGTCTAGGTAGCTGCAGCTGATGGCAACAAGCCTTGTCGGACCAAGTGCCTTGAACCCTCTATGTAGACCCCACTCTGCTGCCATGTGCAGCCATCACATGCCTCAAGTCTTCATGTGTGCCCTGGGGGCTGGCACTAAATCTCTTGTGCTGTTCCTCTGCTTAGAACTGTAGGCTCAAGTGCAGAATTCTTGCCATCGGTGGTACCGCTTTCTCTGGCTCAGCTTGCCTAGTTGACGTGGGGAGTGGCAAAAAAAGAAGTGCAAGTGTAACCCTGTTTGTATCCGTGTGTGTCAGTGCTGTTTTCAGAAGGTGCAGGTTTTAAACAGAGCAGCTCTTCTTTACCATTCTCATTTCTAGTTTCTTGTTGAAGACACTAAGATACTGAAGGGAGGCTGATTCCTTATTCTGCTGTTAAGTAGAGGGAAACATACAGCAGTGGCCTGTGCATCATTGGGTTTTACAGTTACGTTTAAATACTTTAATAAGGCAAGGCAGTTGACAATAGTAAAGTCACTGAAAATAAATATCTTGCTGATTAACTGTTCTGTGAAGTGCTTTTTGCTGACTTTTTGATACAAATATTGATTGAAAATACCTTTGTTCTAGTAACAAGAAAACAGATTCAGAAGCTAGTGCTGCGAAGAAAAAGGTTAACAAGGGAAAGGAAGGTTCTGAAAACTCAGATTTGGATAAAACTCCACCACCTTCACCTCATCCTGAAGATGAAGATGATCCAGGAGTTCAGGTAATGCTATCTCCCAAGTTCAACATAGATTTTGGCAATTGAATTGTATGAAATGATAGTTCTCTCTGTTTGCGTTATGGAGATAAAGATATGTAAGTATTTACTGTGTTGATTAGAATGACATACCAAGAAGGTGAAAGCTAGAACTCACTATGGTGAATGTTTTACTAAAACAAGTGTTGTTCTTCATAATTTTGCTTTACAGTCTTGTTATCTTTAGATGTATGCACGGCGCTGCTGAGCTTTCATATGTTTTCTGCCGTTACTGCTTGCAGTTAGGATACTGAATTTTCTGATCTGTCGATTTTACGTGGCATTATGAGGTTTTTCTTATGAGTATCTTGTTTCTTCTTTGCGTCAGCTTTGGAAACCTTCTGAAATCAAGCACAAAATGTGACAGAGCAGGATGAGGGAAATTTGCACGTCGGAGGCTTGTAACTGTACCACTTTAATGTATGACAGGCCTTTCTTCAGAACTGCCAGCTATCAGCTCGTTTTCCTTCAGCACTGCTCACCTATTCATTTCTCTCTAAATTTCCTTTAACATAAGGAAAATCTGGAATAGGAGTAAGTGCATATGAGAATGTGTGTCCTGCTGCTTGTCATATTAAAAAGTGGCCAGTTCCTGGCTTTCTTCTGCTGGCAGTGCTCAGAGCAGGCATTAAAAATAATCATTCCCTTGTTAAAGGATATAAGAAAATTGTGATGGAGAAAGTATGACACTCCTAAATTGTCATGCTGATATTACTGAAGTCTATTGCATTTGACTATTGCATATCAGCTCGCAGATCTTGCTTCTAGTTATGAGAGCTGTTGAAGCCAAAGTCAAATTAGCCTGGTAAAAATGTTGCCAAACATTGATGTCCTAACACATACACAGTTTATGCCTTTTAAAATTAATGTATTTCTGTTAATTTTGTTTTCTTAATACTTTTTTCTCACACTGCATTTTTTGCCAATTCCATGCTTCTTCATGTAAACTTAAGGAAGGTTTATATAAAGGTTTATATCTGTATATAGTGGGACAGCTAGCATTAATAAACTTGTTATGCTGATACTCATATAGTCATTCATAGTTGGCTAAAACTCCGTGGTACTGATTCACCTATAAAGATCCTATAATGCAGGAAGTGATGCACTGCTCTCTTTAGAGACACTTACTTTTGTGTTATCAGACAGATTTTTTGCATTGTGTTATCAAGCCTTCTCACATATAGATCAACTAAAGGGTAAAGGATAATCTAATGCAAGTAAAAATATGCACAGTTTCTGGCGATGCATAACATTTGCAAAGCCTCATGTGGATATCAGAAAGAAATGGGAAGTTAACCAAGCTGATAAACGTCAGAGGGATGTCTACCATTACATTCTAGACTTGATTTCCATTAGAGAAATATAAGAAGACTTCTGGCACCAAGAATAGTGGTAAGATTTACCTATTGAGCCAAAAGAAGATGGATATTTTCCCATCAGTGATCATGGAAATGAGGGTGTATATTTGCCAAGTAGCATCTATTTTCAGCTATAAAAATATTGGTATTATGTTACAGTTTCATGGGAACCCCTGTAAGTTGGGGCTTCTACCTTTAACATAGCATCACAGTTGTTTAAAGGGGTGTCACTGGTGAAAATTTTCATTTGCAGTTAAGGGCAATTTCCTATTTCGTGGAAATTGTGCTTCAGATGTTTGTGCTAGAAAGTGTCTAAAAATAAATTTTACACTTCATTTATGCACATTTAGAGACCTGGGTACATAGATCTGTTGAAGAGGCTCTGTAAGTATCTCATGTACCAGAGACAATGTGTGTTGAGCTGAGAAAGATATGAAAATAAGCAATATATCAATTCATAAAAGTAGATTTTTATCAGTTGAAATTCAGCATCTTTTTAAAAAATGTGCTAATCCATTGAGGTTTTTTAATGATGACTTTACAGTTTCCTTCAACAGCATATGCTGTCAGCTTTTGAAAGTGTATAACCTGAAGCAGAGTGTCTGGAAACTTGAATTTTATTGTTGCAGAAAATAACTCTCACTGAATGATATGTTTCCAATTCTGTCAAATGAGTGCTTGTGTATTTTACAGATCATTTTCTGCATCTTCTCTGAAATTTTCTCTCACCCTGGTGTAGAGGGTATGGGAGACACAGGAATTATGTTTTCAGTCTGTGAATGGCTCAGATTTCTCATTCTCCTCTATTGAAGTTTTGGGTCTTTTCCTATGCCGTGCTCCAAGGATGCGTTTCTGAACAGTGCTGTGTCAGTGGAGTAAGGAAATCATGTTTCATTGTATTTCCACTACAAGATAATTTGGAGAGATGGGAAGACCATGAAAGTGTGTTGTCACTGCTTAGCAACATTATAGCCATACCATGGAAAGGTGGCATTTGGTTCCTATAGTGGCCATCTGTCAAAGTTCTTTGTACACATGGGTTGAGAGGGGCAGATTCTGATTTTTGAATTGCTTTGAGATACAGTTTTAACTTTAACATTCTGTTTAGAAGCGACGCTCCAGCAGGCAGGTGAAGAGGAAGCGTTATACAGAAGACTTGGAGTTCAAGATTTCAGATGAGGAGGCGGATGATGCTGATGCTGCTGGAAGAGACTCTCCTTCAAATACTTCTCAGTCAGAGCAACAGGTCAGATTTGAACGGAATGGAAAGGTGGATGTGACAGCAAAATTCAAGGTTCAAATATGGGCCTTTTTTTCTGAATGATATTAATCCCTGGTTGGCACAGTGTGCCAGAAGGAATTAGCTTTTTACCTTCTTAAAGAATATATTCATTCATGACTTTATTTACAATCTGGTGATATGCATTTTGACACAGTTCTTTGAAATTAGTGGCTTCTACCTCAGGGAAACCTAAAATGGACTGCTAGGAGTCAGAATTTACTTCTCTGAATTCAGTGGTCTGGCTTCTGTGACTTTAATAAACCACTCAAGCTTGTCCCCTGCTGCTAGGCACCATAAGAACCCCTTTATGAAATTACTGCCTTGTAGTACCCAGCAGGGTACACTTTATTCTCTGTGCAATGTAAATGACGGATAAAATAGTTTGAATAAGATGAGGGGTAATAATGTAGGAATGACTGTTGTAACAATCTCATTGTTTTGTAGTGCATTTTCAGAGTACTACTTCACTTAACTAACTGATAACCTATTGGAAAATGTAGATATGTTCTTTGGTATTTCATACGGTGATTTGTTAAGCCTTATGAAATACACTATGTGATCTCCATTGTTAATTGTGTTTTATCAGAAGGGGAATTTTCTAGGCTTGCATGCAGTTATGATACTGGGAATCACATGTAATTTTGATAGCTGTCATGGACATTTACAGAGCCAACCGGAGTTCTTGAATGTTTTCTAATATTTCCATTGTATGGTGCTGAAAGCATGTATAATTTTAGGAGAGGTGAACTCATCTGTGTACTGTCAGCCTTTGTAGGAAAGCTGGAGTTCCATTAGCTCTTAAAAATGTGGTTAAACAAGTATCTATCAATTTTTTATTATGGCATTATATACATTTGAATCTTCTCACTTCTCATGCTGAGAGAAAAAAAACATGTTGGGAAAAAAATATTTGAAGTTTTCTAATGAAGAAAGAATTAAAAATACTATTTACACAGCCATAACTCTTGTGTAATATTTGTGGTGCAGGAATCTGCTGATGCTGAAGGTCCTGTTGTGGAGAAAATCATGAGTAGCCGCTCAGTCAAGAAAAAGGTAAAAAGGGAATTTCTTCCCTCCATAGCTTTAAACAAGCTAAGTATGTTTCTGTTAAGAACCCTAGTAAGTTCTCAAAAAATGCTTGGATATTTCATATTGAAAAATATTTTACTGAATACAGGAGCTTCCCTAAAAATGTCTTTAGAGAACATTAAACTTTCTATTGTGTAGGCATGTGCAAAACATGCTGCTTGTTCAGTGTTCCAGTCTTTTCTTGCATTTCTTCAAATGAGAATTTTGATTTTTGCAAATATATATACCTGAACAGAATCAGTGGTGTCTGTTGCTTCAGAGTTCTGTTTTAGGGGAGTTTGAGGAGTGAGACCTCTCCTACATCCTGGGTTTCTGCCTTATTGTAATAAAAAAAAATCCTAAATTTTTACATCTTTCGACAGTGGGTGTGCTTAGCAGCCCAAGTTTACTTGTGATCTAGGAAGTTATATATAGAGGTGGTCAGAGAGCTTGTTGCTATGCTGAGATAGTGAAAAAAGCATTCTGCTTGGTGAAGTGTGGTTCTCTTTTAATTCTGCCCTGTTGCCAGCTATGTTCTTATTTTGCTGCGGTTTCCCTTAATATACTTTAGAACTTGATTGGCCCTTGCACTTCCAAACTATTATACTTTGAGTAGGAAGTTGACAGAAACTTTTTCCTAAAAAGGCATTATATTTTCCAGACTCTTCTGTGTAATTTTCTCACTCATCTTACAGTTAGAAAGACCTGTCTGATTTAATATAGGTATAAAGCTCATGTTGAACGTAGTTAACCAGAAATAAATGTTTCCCTCAAAGAGTTAATTTTTCAAATCTAATGAGGAGAGTTGGGCTTATCCTTGGACTTGTTTGTTGTGGGTTTTTGTTTTTGATTTGTTTTTATTTTACTGCTACTGTCATAAGATCATTAACAGCTTTATAAACATAAATTCATGCAGTGTCACGACTGGCTTTGGTTGAGTTTGAATCTACGTTTGTATGGCACAAAACCTATAGCTTTAGATATAAATAAATAAAACAACAATAACCCTAGAGTTTTTATCTGAAAAGAAAAAAGTTTTAAAATACAACTTAATAGTAATAAACCTAATAATTAGACGCCCTGATGGTCTACTAGAGAGGAGACAAGAAAGTGATCTTTTCATAAATGTCTTTACATTTGAAGCTGTTTTTCACCAACTATTCGTCTCTTCTTCTTCTCTCCTGCAAATAAAGGTGTGATTACTCATGGGGAGTGTGTATTTTACTGCATTTTGTGGGAAGTGGTTGGTCTGCTGCCTACGTGTCTTTGATTGCAAGCTCTGCTGGAGGCAAGCTCTATTTTGAGCCTGCTCTTTAATGTTTTTTATGGATTGTATTTGCAGGTTTGAGGGGTGTCTCTTGTTTCCTGCTCTTCTTCCCAATGCTCCTCTCTATCCCCAAAAAATGGATTTCAGGATGTTAATATTTAACATCTGAAGTATCCAACTGTGCTTTTATTAAAGGTCTTTTACACTCTTACTAACGTCATCCAAACACTGGTTGTTAGATTACTAATCAAAGTAAAATTGCTGCGATCAGGACCAACACATAAAATAAACATGAGCGAAGGCTTCACTAGGAAACCTTTCAGTGGATTAGGTTGTTACAAAGATGTTTAGTTTGAGTAAAGGACATTAGGTAATGAGTACGCTTTCAAAACAGCATTCTTAATATTATGCTGTTTTTTTTCTGAAATATAGGCTTACTCTAGCTTTGGAGTTACTAGATCAGAAACAGAATTATAGCCAAATTTCTTCTGTGAACATTTGAAGTACAACAGACAGTGTTTTTCCCTCTTGTTCTTAACGTGGAATTTTTATTTCTGGTTAATACCCTTGCTGAAAGTGCTAAGTACATCTTCTCTTTGTAAACCCTATCAGGGTTTACAAAGAAAAACTTACACATGCTGCCTACAGTTTGTATGTTTAAGTCTTCCATTTCTGTAATTCATTTCTTAACCAACTTCATCCCCCTTTGAATTTCTTATACTTAGCTTTGAAAAGGCCTGGATTGAACTAAAGGTGCTATTCAGCACAATCACACATATTCAGGAAAGTTCTGTGGAGTTTGCAGGGCACTGTACCCTGTGTATTGCATATCTGAATTTCTCTTTCTGCCTACTAATGCACTATAAAAAATTATATCTGAGAGAACTGTGTACAACTGCTTACGTCTATTCCACAGGCTGGTTAGAATAAAATCACAGAATCACAGAATTGGCAGGGTTGGAAGGGACCTCAAGGATCATGAATCTCCAACCCCCCTGCCACATGCAGGGCCACCAACCATTCCACCTAATGCTAGACCAGACTGCCCAGGGCCCCATCCAATCTGGCTTTGAACACCTCCAGGGACGGGGCATCCACAACCTCCCTGGGCAGCCTGTTCCAGCACCTCACCACTCTCTCCGTAAAGAATTTCCCCCTGACGTCCAACCTAAATCTCCCTTCCCTCAGCTTAAAACCATTTCCCCTTGTCCTGCTGTCACTCACCCTTTCAAAGAGTTGATTCCCTTCCTCTTTGTAGGCTCCCTTTAGGTACTGAAAGGCTGCAATGAGGTCACCCCGCAGCCTTCTTTTCTCCAGGCTGAACAAGCCCAGCTCCCTCAGCCTGTCCTCATAGGGGAGGTGCTCCAGTCCCCTGATCATCTTCGTGGCCCTCCTCTGGACCCTCTCCAACAGCTCCCTGTCCAGCTTAGCTGTCTGCTATTTTTCTAGCTCTAGGTGATCTGGGTTTTTTTTTGGTTTTTTGTTTTTAATTATTATTTTTTGAAGCTCTGACTTGTCTCTACTCTTCAGTGCCTTACTCAAATAACTTTTGTTCTAGCAGATATTATTGTGTCACTTCTGTGGCAAAGGCAGTGCCAAATAGTATTCACTTGAAGGAAGAGATCATTTATTTCTTCAATTATCTGCGAAGACTGTGGATCAGATCGTCAACTACATCACACCTGGGCAGTGATCACTGAAGAATCCTGCGCTGCCCATATCTGACATGTTATTTTACGTTGTCTTCATAATCACTTTTCTGGGAATTTTGCCTAAATCATAGAATCGTGGAATGGCCTGGGTTGAAAAGGACCACAGCAATCATCTGGTTTCAACCCCCTTGCTAAATGCAGGGTCGCCAACCACCAGACCAGGATGCCCAGAGCCACATCCAGCCTGGCCTTGAATGCCTCCAGGGATGGGGTATCCACAATCTTGTTGGGCAGCCTGTTCCAATACGTCACTACCCTCTGGTTAATGTAAACATGTGTGCTGGGGGTTGAATGGTAACATAGAGTGCATGAGCTTCTACATCATTCATCCTGTACTGATAGACAAATACACTCTACTTGAGTGCTGGAGATTGTAACTTGACTTGAATTTTTTTTTTCCAGAAACGTGAGTTCCAGAATAAGATTTTTAAAGGATTTCTTTTTTTCTGAAATACTTTTTCTTTAGTTAAATCTTTGATGCACACTCATAGAACATATAAGTGGTCTATATTATTGTCTGTTAAATAACGCAGTAATACATTCTACTCATGAGATGGACAGGATTTATCAAGATTTTCTTCATAAATTATTGTTCTGACATTGGCAGGTGACAGGAAATATACTTGGCTGAAATGCTGTAAAAAGGAGTTAAATTGACTAATTATAATAATACATATGTATAAATTGTATAATTTATATAATATAATTTATACAAAGTTGTTTAACCTCATTGTCTCTCCAAGACTGATACATCTCAAAGTTTTTGATTTAAAACTAATCAAAGACCACAGTGTGCTTAAAAAAATAAAAAGGTAGTATCTTAAGAGTAGAGAAGACTTCTTAAAGAGTAATTGTGTCTCAGGAAGTGAATAGAATTCAAATAGTTGGATCTCCGTTTTTTCTTTTATTCTTCAGTTTTGGCCTCTAATCATGAATACCTTTGTCAAGCATACCTCTTTTTATTTACTTATTTTTAAAAGTTATCGTCTTCAGATTCCTTCTTCTGACAATTTCTTTGTAAGTGACTGAAAGGTTCCTCCCTGATTTTTTTTAAGGGTTAAAGGATAGTTTGTCTCCTTCAGCAAAGGGTTCAAGATCATCAAGAAGTAGCTCCAGGAATAGTTTACCATCTTCCATTTGTCCAGGGATACCTATGTGGAAGCCTGTATCCACGGTCTCTAGAGAGGAACAAAAGCAAACTGTACCAGACATAGACCCTGAAATGATTAAGTCTCTTGATAGCCTGGAAGAGAAGAATTACTACAGAATCATAGAATTACAGAGGTTGGAAGGGACCTCAAGAGATCATCCAGTTCAAACCCCCTGCTAAATAAAGCAGGTTCCCTACAATGGGTTGCACAAGTCGGTGTCCAGATATGTCTTGAGTATCTCTACAGGAGACTTCACAACCTCTCTGGGCAACCTGTTCCAGTGCTCTGTCACCCTTACTGTAAAGAAGTTCTTCTGCATGTTAATGCAGAACTTCCTATGTTCAAGTTTTAGGCCATTACTCCTTGTCCTATCACTGCATACCATCAAAAGGAGCATGGCTTCATCCATTTGTCTCCCACCTCCCTTTAGATATTTATAAAGATTTATCAGATCCCCTCTCAGTCGTCCTTTTTCCAGGCTGAACAGACCCAGATTACTCAGCCTTTCTTCATAAGGGAGACTAGGCCCTGCATCATCTTTGTGGCCCTCTACAAGACTCCTTGCGGGAGATTTCCTGTTGTCTTTGAAATGAGGAGCTGAGAACTGGATGCAGTAGTCTAAATGTGGCCTCATCAGGGCAAAGTAAAAGGGGATGATCACCTCCCTTGACCTGCTGGCCACTCTCATCTTAATGCACCTCAGGATACCATGATACCATTGGCCTTCATGGCCACAAGAACAGTGCGCTGCTGGCTCGTGGCCAACCTGTTGTCCAACCAGGACCCCCAGATCCTTCTCTTCAGAGCTTCTCTTCAGAAGGTCATCCCCGAACCTGTATTGATGTATACTCCATAAACCAGAGACTAGGAATGATTTAACTTTTTCTTTAGAACAGAGTTTGATGCAGCTGCTGGTGTTGCTTTTTTAATTGGTGCTGGTTGAAAGATTGAAAGATTCTAACTCATTCTCTAGCTTTAGAGTAATCTTTTTACTTTTTTTTTTTTTTTAATCAGTATGAATATATAGATATAAAATGGAGGACATTGATTTATACAGGGGTCAATGTTTTCGTCTGTTTTGTGCTACATACAATATTGCAGATGTTGCTGTTGCTGGTGTTGTTGTCCCTGATGAAGTACGTAAAAGAAAATCCTCTTTGCTTTAAAGCAGTTCCAAAGTTCATTAGCAAACATACCGTTAATGTTGTGACATAAACTGAATTCTAAACGTGTGCCTGGTGCACTGTCCTTAGTTTGTCCTATGGCAAGGTTCAGGAGTAATACTTTGTTGAATTACATGCCATATGTTATGCAATACTTTGGCACTAGGGATGAGTTAAAGGTAGTCTGAACCCTTAGCACTGAATGCCCTTGGTTTTTCTGGTTTATATCACAACTTTAACCTTGCTTTAAATGTAGTTTTTGGGTGTTAATTTAATTTGGCTGCTCTGTATGTGAGACATCTTGCCTGAGTGAATTTAATTGCACCATTGAGTAAAACTAAAGCCATGAACACCGATGCACTAAAATTCTAGCAGAGGTATAAGGTTTAGTTTTATATGGCTTCTTGTTTGGAGTTATTAACTATATGGTGGAATAAACCCCTTTTAAAACTCTTTTTTAAAACATTACAAAACCCACAATGTAGAGTTGCCATGAGCCAGCCAAAAATAATACATATGGCATTCAGGAGTGCAGTTGCTAATTGGCTGCTGCCTGAGAAAATGGTACACTTGGCTTCTACTTAACACTGTGGGTTTGGCAGTAAGCCAGATTTGGGGTGAGGTTGTGAATGAAGCTGCATGTGGTTAGGGAGGAGTTCAAATGATTCATGTCTTGGAAGTTGTAGTAAGCAGTGCAGTATGTACTTGGGTAAGCTGCTGGAGGAAACTCCTTACTCGTGTCCTCCCCCCACCTACACCTTCCTGCCCCTCCGCTCGTCTCTGCCACTCTGTACATAGGTACCATATTCTGCATTTCTGTTACCAATAAATAAATCAGCTTGCTCAGTCCTTCAATTCATATTTCAACAATGCTTTTTTATAGATGGAGAATGGAGAGGAGGTAGAAATAGAGGAATTCTATGTGAAGTACAAAAACTTGTAAGTAACCCATTACCAGTTTGGTTCATATCTTTTAAGTTCTCTTAATCTCACATAATGATTATATTATAGCTTTTGCCTACAATGCTATCCAACTTTAAATCAACTTTAAATATTACTAATGTTTAACCCAGACCAGTGGCATCTAAGGGAGGAAGTACTTTGCATTGGTGGTAGCAGGCCTGATGTCTCCTTAATTTGTTTTCTCTCCAAAATGAGATACATAGGTCAAATTGCTCTGCTATTAAACTTTAATTTAAGGTCCAATTATACATGCAGATTTATGAGCACGCACACTTATCTCTATAGATCTAGCTTCCATAGAGTTTTAATCTAATGTGCCTGTAGACTAATCAAAAATAACCCGTAAAATTGCCTCAGAAACAACATTTGTGTTCAACAAAGTGACTTGGTATCATAACAAGGAGATTCCAGAATTCCAGCAGGTAGCTGCTGGGTGTGGTAGGGATGAGAAGAGTACAGTGTTTTACTTCTGTGCTCTGAAACTGCAGTGCCATCAGTATTTAATATAGAATATTTCACAGCTGGATAAGTTCATTTTTCTTCAAGAAAAATAGCATATCTTGTTTAATTTTACCAACTTTTTGACACAAAAGTCAGAAATTCACTTGAAGTGAGTTTCTTGCTGCTAGTTGCAGATAGTTGACTTCACTTTAAATATCTACCACCTGTTTGCACTATATTGATTATTGTATGATATTTAATAGCCTAACAATGCTTTCTTTAGTGCTATTACTTTGGCATATTTTTTATAGTGTCTTACACTCTTTGTCTGTCAAAAGTTATACAGCTAAATGTATGATGTGGGAATAGTCATTTTAGGAGAGATGCTGTTTCTTAGTTGAAACTGTGTGTGTTCTTAAAGATGAAATATTACAGAATTGCACTTACAGTGGTTTTTCTTTTTGTTTTATAAATGCTGAAACTTCAGTGACTAGCATGCAATTACTAATTATAGTGCTGTTCCCAAAAATGTAGTGTATATGTTTATATCTTCTGTGGTGAGGATGTTAGTGTCCAGTTTCCCAAGTATAGCACTGCATTGTGCTGAAAAGTTCAATTGCACTGGTGGGGGATGTTGGAGTATGCAATACAGCGCAGGTTTGAGTAAGATTTTGTTTTGTCTTCTAGTTCTTACCTTCATTGTCAGTGGGCATCTGTGGAAGAGCTGGACAAAGACAAGAGAATTCAGCAGAAGATTAAGCGGTTTAAGGCAAAACAGGGCCAGAACAAATTCCTTTCAGAAGTATGATGATTTTTTATTTCCTTTAGATGATTAAGGAATGTTTTAATGAATTATTTTTCTGTATACAAGCAGAAGACTTGACAACTGTAATATATCAGCATTTATTCTGATGTAAGATATAACCACGAGTGATCCAAGTCATGCAAGCTTATGAAATTGAAGTGATCCGTTCTGACTTGATACTTTTTACTATATATTTGTTGCTTAAAGTAAGTGCTTAGTTGTTCATCTTGTAAGCTTGACTCTTACTGAATCAGTACAAGGTCTTTCTTGTCAAGAGCTGATTATGCCAGAAAAATGCATCACATTTTTCTCTGTTACGGACGCTGCTCACTAGGGATTCTAAGCTTTTTATCATCAATTTAATTTCACTTAGAGCCATAAGCAATAATGTGGCAGGGGTCCTGTCAATAAACGACCAAATCTGCTGGTTTGTTTCTGAAAGCTTACCTTTCAGTAATACACCATTTTTTTTTTTTTTGCTTGTTTGTTTGTTTTTTTTTTTAGGGGAAAAAACAGCTTTATTATGGTACCCTATTTATTTATTTGTATTTATTGTTACTATATAGTTTAAAGTGAACAAAATCTGTTAGAAATGGAAAACTTTCATAAAGTCACCACAGGTTTTGATTAAGTGTTCCTGGTTGATATATTCTTATAAAGTTTGCAGGAATTTAGGGGAGGAGGAATTGATATGATATGCTTTTAGGGCAGAATACAGGGCATCTATCAACACTATGTCAGAACATCCAAGGAATGCTTTGAGATTATTATAAAATGCAGTGGCAACTATGAGGAATTAAAAGCATCGTATAATGCTAATGCCTGAGGAACTAAATTAAGTAGACTCTCAAGACTCCAGATATTTTTTTTAAGAAGTCAATAAATACATGAACACTTTAAAAAAATAAAAAATAAAAAAATCAATACAATATATTGAGCAACATAATTGTGAGACTTAACATCTTTTTTTAAGTGTAGAAGCCTTCAATTTCTTTTTTGTAAACTATTTTTTTAAATGTTTCCAAATGTGTCACAAATAAGTACTTATTTATAAGTACTTGGAATCTGTTTTGTTTCTGTTTTATTTGCCTAGCTATGAAAATGAGCATAGTTTTTACTCCTTTTGTCTGGTTTTTCCATTGGAGGGGATCTTAAAAGCATAGAATGAAACATAGTTCTTCTGTACTGTAGTCAACTCCATAAGTTCTGGAAGGGATAAGAGAATATAACAAAATGAGATTTTTGGACACTATGTACATACATGCCATGCTTTTTCTGTTTTTGAAATGATCTTGAAACCTTATAAAGCAGTTAGATGATTTCTGTAGTTAAAATAATCCAAAGGCACTTATTGTACAAGGCTCTAATTTCTTTATTGCAAGCTGTAGTTTTCAAGAATGCTAAATGCATTGCATGCCATAAGCCTTTTCGATTGCTCATTAGTGAATTGTAATTTCACACTTCATTTAAAATATTCTTAAACATTCTCTCACAGTAAAAGGTTTCACACAGTAATTAAGAGGCCCAGTTAACAAAGTCTGAGAAGTCTGATTCCCTCACGGGGAATGATCTTGCTGAATTGTAGCATTTCAATTAACATGTTGAAGTTTGCCAAATATAAATTCTGTGTCACCGTGACCCAAAATATTATTGCCTGGTGAAATATATAATAATTTCTCCTCTCAGGAAGGACTAATAAAGATATCTTGTATATTTTTCTGCTTGTCTCCTTGGACAGATTGATGATGAGCTTTTTAATCCAGATTATGTGGAAATCGATCGAATCCTGGATTTTTCACGTAGCACAGATGATAATGGGGAGGTAAATAGAACTTTTAATGTACTTGTGGTCATATGGATGTTCTGTTTAGAGTGTATTCTTTATAAATTTGAATATATAAACAATTCTGAAGCTACCTGGGTATTTCTGCAGAAAATGTGAAAGCATTTGAAAAAACATTAGGTAATGTAGCATTTTCCCTAGAATAAAGGAGTTTAAGTGGGAAATCAAACTTCTGTGTTACTTGTATTTAAAAACAAAACTACCCAACGCACTCCAGAGCCAACAAACAAGAAGAGGGGAGGGAAAACCAGCCCTGATTTGTAGCTAGTAATATGATGTCCATGCAAGCAATACAGAATTGAAATGAAAATTGCAACAGCCCTGCCAAAATGGGTGTTAAACAATGTCTAAACAATAATGACATTGGTAGGTGTTGCAGAAGAGGTCCTGAATTTACTGTTTCTTACTTTATATGACCTATTCTACAGAACAAGATTACTTTCTTTTCCAGGAGATTCCTTTTTGATCCTGAGAGAATATAAAGCTTCAGTGACAGTGTCAGTGTCTTTATACTGGTGATCTGTGAATGGTTGGCTTTTTTGAAAATGTAACAGGTGGAAAACCAGTATTGTTTTACTTTAAAATGTTAGTTTAGTGCAAGTGATGTCAAATGAAGTGTTAGGTTCACCACCATAAGGAATGTAAATTCCCTCCATTCTAATATGACTTTGTTAACTTGTTAAGGTATCAACCTGCTGTTTGCTTATCCTCTGGGCTGGTTCAGATATTTAGATCTTGAAACACTTTTTGAATTTTATCTAGCTTGCAGATCTCCTGTTTACTTAAAAAAAAAAAAAAAAAAAAAGAAAGTTGTTTCACTTCTATTGTTTTATATTGTGATCTAATCTTTTTTTTTATCTTGACAAAGCCTGTAACGCATTATCTGGTGAAGTGGTGTTCGCTACCTTATGAAGACAGCACTTGGGAGCTCAAGCAAGACATCGACCAAGCTAAGATCGAAGAATTTGAGAAACTGATGTCTAGAGAGCCTGAAATGGAGCGTGTGGTAAGAATTGGCTGCGTATAGAGGGTTTTATTTGAAAATAGTAAAGTAATGTGGTCTTTCAGAAACCACTAATGGGATTTGCTGTATTTGAAACAGGAGCGACCTCCTGCCGATGACTGGAAGAAATCGGAGAGTTCCAGGGAGTATAAAAACAATAACAAACTCAGGGAATACCAGTTGGAGGGAGTAAACTGGCTTCTTTTCAATTGGTACAACACGTACGTAAAACACTGCTTACTACTGAATCTTACTTTGGAAAAGCTTTTCTAGTTTATATGCAATTATAACCTTTTAAAGTACCCTTCTAAAGTGAGATTTTAGAATTATTTACATCTTTCATTTTTCACTGCAGAATCGTATATGAACTACTTACGGAGATGTAACATAGCATTACATAAAACGCAAATATTTTGGATAGGTTCCTGTGGCATTCATGTATACCCACAGTGCCTCTCCCTAGCTTGGGAGGTACCTGTTTAATGCTTCACAAATTATAGTATTTATTTATATCTAAAAAGATTGTGGTGTGCTTTCAATGTAAGTTTGTCATTTTAGAAATGTTTTGTTCACTTTAGTTACTTATGTAACTAATTTTTTTTTTATGTTTTATGTTTTAATGTAAGACTATGGTTTTGTTTGTTATTTTCAGGCGAAACTGCATTTTAGCAGATGAAATGGGGTTGGGAAAGACTATCCAGTCCATTACGTTTCTCTATGAGATATATTTGAAAGGAATCCATGGTCCTTTCTTGGTTATTGCACCATTGTCCACAATTCCCAACTGGGAAAGGGAGTTCCGCACCTGGACAGAGTTGAATGTGGTTGTGTATCATGGGAGTCAAGCAAGCCGGCGGACCATTCAGTTGTATGAAATGTATTTCAAAGATCCACAGGTAAGAACTCCTTGTGCAGTTATCCTGGGTTTTGTTTGTTTCTTTTGGTTGACTTTGTTGTTGTTTTTTTAGTATATGCTTTACTGTTGCTGATTAATCTTAGGTTACAAACATCAATTAGGTTTTTTGGTTCTGTGTAGTACTAAATCTGGTGTAGTAGGCTTCAGTTAATAATAATAATATATATGTGTGTGAAGAGACATTATTTCAGTAGCAGCCAGGAGATTGTTTGGAAATAGAATAGGACTAAGAGTTACTGGGATAGAGAATTCAGGTTTTATTTTTTATTGTTACGTGCAAGGGTTTTATTGTTTCGTACTCCTGAGAAAAACTGGCAGAAAAGATTCTTAATGGAGAAACTGCTTTAACTGAACTAAGCTTAAAAGTCCATGTGTGCCAATGATTCCAGGAGAAGACCAGCATGCAGAGATTAAGCTTGTTGATGTTTGTTTATCAAATTTTATAAGTCAGATGTATTTTGAATCTCTGTTACTACATTCCTGTTGAATAGTTCTTATGATATAAGGAGAACAAATTAAAAAGGGAGGGTGAAAACAGAAAATTATTTGAAAAACTAAAGAAGAACAGCAGTTCTCTACATTTAAACACGTGGCTTTGCTCAGCGTAAGTAAAAAGGATTGGAGGAAAAATAGTGTGTGTTCATGGAATCTTATTGCAAAACAAGTCTTCTCACTTAAGAAGAAAAAAAAAGTGGAAGCTCAACCCTATTTGAAATATTGTGGGGTATTATTTCCAACAGAACTTAAAAAGTGATAGTGGTGAATTCATATATTTAGATTTTCTGTAAAGCATTTGATTTTATGCCATGGGATATTTTGATTAATAAACTAGAATGATATAAAGTCAATATGGCACACATTAACTGGATTTAAAACTGGCTGACTGATATTTTTCATTGTAACTGTAAATGAGAAATTATTTGCATTTCGAGTGTAGTTCTTCAGGGATTGGCTCTTGTCCATGAGCTATGTAACACTTACAACAATGATCTGAAAGAAAACATAAAATCATTACTGAAGAAGTTTTCAAATGACACAAAGATGGCGAGAGTGGTAAATAATTAAGACAGTTAAAGGATACAGAGTAAGCTGTGTTACTGGATTCAAATTAACAATATTCAGAATAGCTAAATATAGGGCTATCTATGGTCTGAGAATAGAGCTCATTCTTACAGTAGGGAGAGCTCTGTCTTGAGGAGAGTGTAAGACAAATGCACATCCTTTATTGTTTTGACACAGAACCAGTTAAACATGAGTTCTTACTGTGAGGCAGAACTTAAAAGGGCAAGTGAAAAGTATGTGGGAGGAAAGAAATCTTTATTAAGAGTAAAAATCTTACAACGTTCTTCTGTTTGCTCTTAGTGTAGTGTGTATTCCTGTTCTGCCTAGCTCTATTGTCTTTTCCTCAATAAGTGTTGAGAAACTGAAATCGTTATAGTAAAACTATGAGGATCGTTGCAAGATAGTTTTTACTTGGCTCCTCTGAGGTCTGTTTTCAATTTTGAAGACAATAACTGTGGCACAACTTGACATGCCATCAGGGCAAACAGGTACTTAAGTCTAGTGGAGAAGCACTGTAAATCATAAGAGCTAGAAGTTGGATCAGTTTGGCTTAGGAAATAACTGTTCTTTCAGCAGTTTATCAGAGAAAGTTCCAAATCAAAATCAGATACACTGCTGTAACAGATGATTAATTTCAATAGCAATTGCTGCCCTGACGTTGAGAATAATCACCCTTATCTTCTTACCTAGGTGTATTATATACAAGTAAATTGAAATTAATTATTTTGTATTTTATCTGTCTAAAAATATTTCATAGCAAAGATTTGATATTTTATATCATTTTTAAATTGTTTTTTATAATTATAGCTGTCTCTATTATGCCAAAATGTTTTCCATATTGCAGTTACTCTTCTTGCAGTGACCATGGGTGGTCATTTGATCCCATATCAAATACAATGGCAAAGCACTCATGGCACAGAGAAATGAATGTGTTTCTGCTACCTTTGCTCTGTTAACTGATTTAAGTTGAGAGTCAAACAGTTGCCATCGTTGGGGATGAGGCAGAAACAAACTCTTCCTTTTGGTGGCAGTTAGCTTAGATGTATCATGAAATAATACTCTGTGTTCTATTCTCTGTAAGACTCCATCAGCTGTGAAATGCATGGCAGAAACTGAATTATGAGGGGAGAAGTGTCTCTGCATCCTGACAAAAGGAATCCACATGAAGTGCTTAGTCTGGCATCCTCTAAGGCACTACCAGTGGGCATTTGATGGGGGATGGGGAGAGAGAGAAGGCGGGCAGGCTTTGGCAGTATCATTTCTGGTCCTTTTGCCAAATGCGTCAACTCAAAGATGTCAGACATCGACATCTTTGGCTTTTTAGGTCTTAATGTGAAAAGAGGCCTCTCAAGCTGAGCAGATTTTCAAAAAGACAGCTGAATGTTTTGAAAATCTGAATGGCTTTGAAGGACAGTAGTAAAAACCTGCATGCATGAGAAGCCCCTACCCATCTGCAGTAGTTTGGATTTCAGAATCAGCACCAGTAACAAGTCAAGATGTTGTGAAAACTAGAGAGTATTTGATAACAAATTTTTTCTGTGGTGTGATTTTGATGCTAAGAATATCATGTGACGAGAAATAGTTCCTTAATATCCCTTCCTGCTTTATTGTTTGTGACATTTATGGAGAGAAGCCTATTCTGATATTCTTGAGCAGTAAAAGTGACAGGTCCTACCAGAGACCTTCCTTTATTGGAATACCAAAAAAAGGAAATGCTATTCTGTGGAATCCTACCTCTGAAAGTTTTGTTGTAGGTTTAGGAAAACTATGTATGCCAAAAAGTTAAGGGCAGAGCCCTGCAGTAGAGTTTGAGGTGTGTTTGAGAGAATTTTGCTTTGCAGTGTAATGAGGGCTAAGAAGAAAAGCACTTGGCTCATTTGTAGAGACAGGATACCTTGTCTGTGGTTGATTTTAACTGAAATAATGCTACTGATGTTCAGAACTTTTTCTAGCTTATTGATTTATTCTTTTTGGACTTTGCGGGTGTTTATTTAACAGTATTTTCTTGCCTGCATTATTTTCTTCCTTGCTGAGCTACTACAGAGCTATGGTTAGCAGACAGCAGTGTAAGGTGATATTTCACTTATAGGTACTCTGTCTTTTACCAGAGATGTCAAAGTGTGCTTTACAGAATGAGTGAGACTTTTTTCCAGATGCCTCACTGCTATAATTAGTAAATATGCATGTTCCTCACATCTGTTCTTCAGTTCATCAACATGGAGTCTGAGGTTAGTGAGAAAAGTCCATGTTAATCTTTTAGTCCCTTCTGGTGGAATGTCATCTTTTTAGTAGTTGTGTTCTTACACACAGCCACTGATCCTTCTCAGTTTGTGTCCTCTAAGAGGTAATACAACCTAAGTGTAACCCATCTTTTAGAATCACATCTACTTGTTGCGCTTCTGGGCTGCCTCTGTCGTTTTAGTTAATTCTAGAATTTTTCGTGCAGAACAGGAAACTATTTCCTGTTAGGAGAACCGGCTTCAAGTGGAATATGTTCTCTGAGTAAATTGATGAGAAATTCCTCTGTTTCTGTCATCAGAGAACTTCATTTGGATGCCACACTGAAACAGGGTAAACTGACTTCCTCGTTGTCTAAGAAGTCCCGTCCCTGGAGGTATTCAAGGCCAGATTAGATGGGGCCCTGGGCAGCCTGGTGTAGCATTAGGTGGGAAGGTTGGTGGCCCTGCATGTGGCAGGGGGGTTGGAGATTCATGATCCTTGAGGTCCCTTCCAACCCTGGCCATTCTGTGATTTTGTGAAGTCACCTGTGAAAAAGCTGTAGGTCACTTGCCTGATAATTTCTGCTTCAAAGTTTCTCAAATGTGACAACAATAGCATTACATGAAAGTATGGGAAAAGAATCCTAAGTCCTCAAGGCCCCAAACTGTAAAATTTACCTTCAAAAGCTCTTACAGTTCCTATTTAATTGACTCTTATAATCACTCACTCCAATACAGCATTTTGCTGTCTCATTGAGCTCTAAATATGTAATTGGGGTCCCTCTTATTGCTTTAGGTAGGATGATTTTTGTAGTGCACTGTTTGCCAGTCATGAGGATGCCTATGGCAGTCTTTCCTGCTACTGGAAAGAATCTCATAGGCTGCATTTTCATATCTTTTGCAGTTATATTTGGTTCTTGAAAAGATCACAGTGTTTCACTTCTCTGTCTTTCTAAGTTGTCCACTTGGTGTATCTTCATCTGCTGTTTGTTAGATTACAACTGTTTATCCCTTGAGAAGGTAAATATTTCCAGAATATGCCATGCAAAAGCACTGTTGAACAGATAATTTCTTCCTCTGAGGTACTCTTGATATGCATATGCAGATATATTGCTGAGTTCAAGATACCGGGTTTCCAGTCCTTTCAAAGAGTCTGAAGCCAATTCTGATCACCGCAGCTTGCAGAGGATCATATACAGGTCACTTACAGGAGGATTTGGACTTGCACGTATTTAAAAGGAAAGATGGCCATCTCACTGTAAAATATCTGTCTGTCTTGAAATTTACTGGATGTACAACCTACAACATACTCAGTTTTCAAAGCAGGATGGGCTTTGAACTTGTATGATGCCAGTCTTTTCAGAAACAGGTGTTCTGTGCAGACCATGTGTCACTCGAGATATCTGGTTATGTATTTATTTGAACAAGATTAGAAAGAAATATGACACAATATCAGTACAGTGTTCATTTTGTGATCTCTTCTGAAGATTGTTCAGGGTTTTTCTGAAACATAATAGTCGCCCTAATAAGCCTTTAACTAACAATAATTAGTGAAGATGATGTCAGGCATCAGATAAATCATAATGTTGAACTTTTCTTAAAACAAGTTCTCAAAAGTATTGAGGAAATGTTTTTAAGCTCAGCATTTTTCTTCTTTTCAAAGCTGCTTGCTGTAATTGTAGGTGAAACTTGATGTCCATCAGAAAAATAAACAAAAACAACTGTTGAGAGCAACATGATCAGGACAACAAATCTTTAATATACTTCAGGGTTATTTGTACTGTTTGGGAGAATTGTGATGTATTTCCTTGATTTAAACAAAAAAGAGAATTCTCTTGACAAAGACTGCAAAACTTATTTTGAGTATTGCAGGGATACATTATTGCTTGCTCATTCAGATTGTAGCTGAAATACTTGCAATCATGTAATCATCACACAGCCTTCCAGCCGCTCTGTAGCATTGCTTGAGGTTGTTCTGGCCCAAGTGCAGAACCAGGCACTTGCTCTGTAAGAACTTCATCCCATTGGTCTTAGCTGTATAATGAATATGCATTGATTCTGTGAGCCTTTTTGCAGGAAAAACAACATAGCGAGCTTGATACCAGTAGTAAACTTAGACATTTGCCCTCCTTCAGTGAGTCAGCAATAATGATTTCATTTGCTTAAAATAATTTACCCATTGTACTGTTCTGGGTTTTCTTTACATAGTGAATTCTGAAGATGAAACAAATTTACTTTCTTTCTTTGACAGTCAGTTTATGTCAGTTTATTCTAACGTTTGCTGTTCTTTTTAGGGTCGTGTGATAAAAGGGTCCTACAAGTTCCATGCTATTATCACAACATTTGAAATGATTTTGACTGACTGCCCCGAGCTTCGAAACATTCCATGGCGTTGTGTTGTAATCGATGAGGCCCACAGGCTGAAAAACAGGAATTGTAAGCTTTTGGAGGGACTCAAGATGATGGATCTGGTAAGTGTGTGCATCTTTTAAAGTAAATAAATAAATCTGCATTTTCTGTATTTTCATTAGTCCCAGTTTGCAGTTTCACCACGAAGTAAAAGTATTGTTTCTTAAGTAAAAGTATTAAATGTTAAGTAAAATAAGAGAGTGCATCTTGAGAATCTTTAAATTACCTGGAAGCACATACATACATTGGATTTTGGTATGCTGATGTTTCATCAGGCTTTTCATTAATTTAAACCTGTAGTTATGTGTATTATTTTAAATGAATTGACACTTTTTTTTCTTCCCCTTCTCTCTTTTCATGTGACTGACTTCTATAATCACTTGTACTTCATTTTCTCTTCTTTACCTTGACATTTATTTAGAGGTATAATGTGGACTGCTGACTAAATACATCCGTGAGAGTTAAATTAATCTGAATTAAATCAGCTCTCATGTTAATTTGTTGTGTGACCATAAGGAACTGCTTTCAGGTTAGCTATGGAAGGGAGTGAAAGGAAGGGAAATGTGAGTTGGTTTCTGATATTTTCATAGACATTTATGCACATTATATGGGTGAAATATATAATACTAAGCATACAAAGAACAATGAGAAGATGAATTTCAAGCTATTTATTATTTTATTGGTCAGAAGATTCTTTAAAACTGTAATATGAATGTAGTCAAGATAAGTTAATACCTGGAATTAAAAAAACGGTAAAAATAAACATTATCTTACACAAGCACTGGTGACCTATAGATTGCTTTCAGATTGTTTCCCTCATTGTTAAATAATATTTTTCTTGAAGTAGTCCTGAAGCTTTATGAAAGAAAGTTACTAAAAATATTGTATAGAATTTATTTTTATCATAGTTACCACTAAAGAGAAGCTGAGCTTACAGTTATGGCTATAGATGGAGAACAGGACTTCTCACTTCAGTTCTTTCTCAGCTACTAAATTCATGTTTGGTCTTGGGCTCATTGCTTAACCTCTCTGAGTACCTCCACTAAAGCAGCATGAAACTTCTCCTTTCATCTCTGTCAGTTTCATACTCTGCTTTGTGAGCACCTCAAGAGGTGAAGTATTTTTCTGGGCTGAAGGAAGACCAAAACACTAGTTTATAAATGTCTGAAAAATAATTATACGTAAGTTGAGGCAAAAAGAAAAAATATATATATGTATGAGAAAAAGAATGGATTTAAATGGATTTCTAGGCAACTCTGTCTTAATCTTTCAGGAGCATAAAGTGCTGCTTACTGGAACTCCTTTGCAAAATACAGTAGAAGAGCTATTTAGCTTGCTTCACTTTTTGGAACCAGGTCGCTTCCCATCTGAAACCACGTTCATGCAAGAATTTGGGGATCTGAAAACTGAAGAACAGGTAGACTGCCCCTTACATACTTCTCTATTTAGATTTTGTGAATTTAATCATTCCATTGTATCTGAACTTTATTGCTTGTTTTTACAGGTAATACCTGTTTTCTTCTTAGTGACTACAATGGACTTATCCTTATTTTTGCTTTGTTGAAATTCATTTTGAGTTCTTTTTGCTTTTGATCAGAATTCACTTTAACTTGTGACTGTTTTTGCTGCTTTGACAATTGATCATACAGAAATGAGTTCTCTTCTTTGACTGTCAGTATCAGAGTAAAGGGATTGTAATTTCTGTGGAGAGGATATCTGTGAGTTTTATCAATGACTTCAGTGCAAACAAACACATTTGAAATCTAGTTTTCAAGAAGCAACCAAACAGAGGGAGATGCTTTCTTGACCAACTCAAGAACTCAGATTTCTCAAGCTGTCCAGTAAAAGAAATGCATAATTCAAAGCAAAATAAAAAACCCTTAATGCAACATGTTTTAGATCTCAAATGTAAATGATGGTCATATACAAAACTTCTTTTCATTAATGTATGAAAATGTTTTTAAAAGTAAATAGGTAACAGTTAAACTACTGTAAAATTACTCATAGGACTTAGCTGAGGCAAGACATCTTAATTTAGGCACCTTAGTGTGGCTCTTTGCACCTTGTGGTAATCCAACTTCATGACTACGTGCATTTTTGTGTACAACTTTGTCTTGGTTCTGTCTGAAAACTCCCCAGTTTCTTGAGTTTCTGACTTTTGAGTGCTTGAAGTGGTTAACTTTCTTTGAGATTATCTCTATTATAGGTAATTGTCTAAATTTAAAACAAACCAAAAAAAAACCCAATTCTTTCCCAGCCCCTTACCGTCTGGACAATCACTGCGTGTCCTGCGGGAATCATAAGGGTATGTTTCCACAGATTGTGCAGGCAGTTGCATGTCAGTCAGCCTGGACTCTGACCTGATTGGAAGTGAGCCAACTGTGATCCAGAAGCCATGTACTCCTGTTAATATAGTGTTTGAGCTGGAGTTAATATATCCTAACTCTCAACATAGCTTCTGTCTGGCCAGCTCAAAATGTCAGCGGAGCAAAACTGGAAATTTTTGATGTTGTAAGTGAAAATATAACTAAAATAATGCCATGAGTCATCAGCAGATTTGGAACCTGGATTGCTTGGGCAACGAGTTTTGGAAGAAGTGTTGTCTTTGTGAATACATCACTTCTGAAATATGATTTTTCTTTCAAATGGTGGAGGAGATATTAGCAGTTTAGGTTTTCTCCTTCATTCCTTGCAGTCCTATTCCATGTAATTTTTTCATTTTTCATCTCTCTGGGCTAACTTATCTCTTTTCTCTTGAAGTTGAACTATTACTATAGGAATGATGTGAATTCAGGAGAAAGCTGCTTTTGTTCTTGTTTCTGTTACACAGCACCCTAGTAGGAGACGATGATCAATTTCAGGGCAAATTGTTAGCTCTTCAGCTCGGAGCTGATTTGTAGTTTGATGAGAGATGGAACTTTTAAAAACAACCTTAATGCCAACTCGTTATATATGTATGGAGTATGCTTGAGTTTTTGTGTAAAGGCCATCATAAAGACTTGACCAAACTCAGCAAACCTTATAGAAGGAAAATGGACACTTTCCCTCTGCTTCATAAAGTGTATGTTGCCAAACCTGGAGACAAAAAAAATAAAATAGCATTTAAAAAAAAAATTACAGAAATATGAAATACTCATTTTGAGAAAAGGCCTAAGTTGTTTTCTGCTTTGGCAAATGTCAAAAGAAAGTAAAGTACATCTAAGAAATGTCTAAAAGTAAAAAGAATTAGGAGCAGATATTTGAAGGGAAAAATAGTATAATTCACTGTATTTAGTGGTTAGAAGTTACTCTAAAGCTTGTTCTTACAGTCAGATTTGCTTATATAGCTGAGCTGTGCCTAGGTAGGGTTAGCTCTGCACAATTGGTGTGCAGTACTGATGTTGTCTAGAGGGATGGTTCTAATGGAGATCATTTAATGACATGCACTAAACAGAAGTAGTGAGCACTAAAAATTGACTTCGGAAATTTATGTCACGGTGTTAACAAGGAAATTTTAGTTTCTAGGTCCTTGAGGAAAGACTTAAATGCTGTCTACTTGTGATCTGAGTTTAAAAAAAAAATAAATAAAAAATAAGAGGGGGACTTCAGAATTAAGAAAACATTAGAAATAGAAAAAATAAATAAGTGAAGACTTAGAGCTTTGATTGTTGTTTATTTAATGTCTGCTAGGTGCAGAAACTGCAAGCTATTTTGAAGCCGATGATGCTGAGACGTCTCAAGGAGGATGTGGAAAAGAACCTGGCCCCCAAAGAGGAAACCATCATTGAAGTTGAGCTGACAAATATTCAGAAGAAATACTATCGTGCTATTCTTGAGAAGAATTTTGCGTTTCTCTCGAAGGGTGGAGGTCAGGCAAATGTACCTAATCTTTTAAACACTATGATGGAACTAAGAAAATGCTGCAATCATCCGTACCTTATTAATGGTAAGTCACATCATATTCTTTTCAAGAAGTATTTTTAAGACTGCTCAGTGCATCAAAAATTCTGTTCTAGTTTTTTCAGAGGGATAGTTGTTAATTTTTCTTTCCATAAAATTAGTATGCTGAAAGCAGCGAAAGTGACTGAGTGAATATACTGTGTAATTTTATTTATGAATTTTTAAATTAGAATAGTGACATAACCTTTTAGGTTCTCTTGTGTTTAGAAATGTGCTAGTCAGAACAGCATTGCTTTTGAAAACATCTGCACTGCTTTTTTCAAGGCTTGCTAGTCCTGTCAAAGTTGGTGTTAGTATCATGTTAGTATTAGAGTTTTTTCCTTTTGTTCTTTTTACAAAGAATACTTCAGTTATCATGTGGGTTCTTGGATGCTGCTGTAAAAAGACAATTTTTTTTCTTCACAGTTGGTTAGCTACTACTTATTTTCTTCCACGGGGTACAATGAGAGAGTACTAAACATTTCTGAATAAAAGTAGTGGGTCAAGAAATGACTGAGATGTGCTTTTATAGACATGTGTAGTCAGTTCATTTTTGTAATTTAATTGGACTGGAAAAAGATCTATATGAATGCCATATTAGATTTTAACAGTGAAGACTCTGTTTCATTATGATGCTATTGGTTTTCGATCAGAATTATCTATGGCAAACACTAGGTGATGAACCAGCTCTCTGAAGTATGCTGAACTGTATGTGTTGGTCATATCAAATCTTCCCTTTGAAGATGTAATATAAGCTTCAGTACATAGTTGCATGCTACTAGTTCCTTGTTTTCCATCACCTCTTTGTTACTGTGTATGATTTATGCTGTCACTGGTTTCATGCTAGTTACGAGTTTCATGGTGAAAGACTGTTTTATCATGAGCCATATGTGATTGCAGTTTTTATTGTGTGACTTCCATATTGCAGTGCTTTTTTTTTTTACATTTTTTGTTATGCTTAAACTAATTCACCAAATGACATCTAATTATATTTCATCTGCAAGTAATTATTCCAAAGGCACGATATAGAGTTACTCCAAGGTACCTGAAGTCAACCGTGCTGGTGGGCTGCTCAATTTCTAAATTCAGATTCATTCAGAACATACAATTAAATTAGTTTTGTGGCTCTGTTAGAATTTGTTTGTTAGTTCTTTGCTTCTAAGTTAATCTATTGCATAAGTGGGTTTACCAGAAAACGGTTCAGAATGTTCAGGTTATGAGTTTCTAAACTCAATGCCTTTTATGTTCCTTGGTTTTCAGTTCATTTTAACCTAGTGATTGTTTTTCCTTGTCTCATGTAATGAGGAATAAAGTGAATGTTTTTCTCCTATTTTGTTTTGTGAAATAAAATTAATGAGTAGCATTTGCATCATTGCTTATAACAGTTTTTTTTTTTTCTTCTGCCATGTCTCGTATCATTTAACTTATATTAAAAATTGCTTAAATTCAGGTAGCTGTATGGAAAATTTCAAGTATTTTTGAATGACTATTTTTTTTAACCCTAATAAAGGGAGGTGGAGATGTTTCTTGAGCTTTTTCCTTTTTGACATTTTTGTGACTTCTGAACATTTGGACTTGTTTTTAGTGGGATGCAGCAAAACAGCAGGTGCTGTTAAGATTTGATGCAAGGGAGAAATAATTAAATCCCAACTATTATTAGTGTGAAGGATGGAACTAAGCAACTAAGTTCTTTTAATTCCAGGAGAGAAAATACTCTTATGTCCTGTAGTTGTCTGAGCCCTCGGTTTTATCTTGTTGATCAGTAATTAACATCTTTGTATTTACAGTGATGACACAAGTTTATTTCTGACAAGAAGCCTTGTAGTGGCATAATGTTCAGTGGTATTTTTCTGAAGAGTAGCAAGCTCTGGAGACTTAAGGCTTTTATGAAGAGGTCTTGGAATCCTTCTCATTTTCTTCTACATTTAAAGTTTTGTAAACAAGCACAGTGTATGTGTATTTGTATGTATAGACCAAGTAGAAGATTGTTTTGTTTCACGTAGAACTAACTAAGTGTTCTAGGTAATCTTCAGTTAAGAGACATAGAAGTTTGTATCATGGAAGTAGTATGATAGGAGTTGAATGTGATGATTCTTCATTTCTTGAACAGGAGATTAGTTTTGTAGTGCTGAGAGGAGAATGGCTGTCTACTGGAACTGTCCTTGAGCAGACTTGAAGAAGAAACTGCTGCATTTTGTGTATTCTCCAGCCAAGATGGGCAAAGCATTGTCCTATTGGTTTTCTCAGAGCTGAACTCCTTGTTTTCTGCTTAGCAACCACTCAAGTATTTATGCATCATACTTTCTCTGACTCCAAGAAACAACAGCAGGGGAGTGCCTCTATACTTGCACATGCTACACAGTATGCTGGTAAACACTGCAAAGGTTTCTTTCTCTGTTCCTTATGCTCTCTTGAGCCCAAGGAGTCTCTCTTAACTAGAAGATTTCCTGCTATCAGAAAAACAGATGTTCAGACTTCTTTTCATTCACTAATAAAAATCAAGAAGAAAAGAAGTGTTAGAGGCATACAAGACACTACTTCAAGTAGTGTAACAGGTACTGTTACCTGTTACTTAGGTAACAGGTACTGCACGTTCATCACTTAGTTGCAATTGAAATAGGAGTGAAAAGGAAAAGGCAGGCTTTTATGAGTTTTAGCTAGGATAGGATGGTTGGACTAGCAGATTTCAGAGATTGTGGTCTGTTATGGAAGTGCATCTTGCTGGGACAAAATGCTGATACTGAAAATTCATCATTTGTAAGATTTGTTGGTAGGTTTGTTGTAGTGTGGTTGGCCTAGTTGGTTTGCTTTTGAAGATACTGAGTTTGCATACTGTATACAAGCTACTTGACAGCCTATTATATTCTGAAATTGACCAAGCTCAGTATGGAATCTGAGATTACTGCCTTAATTTCTCCCATTTGGCAAAATGGGTGCTAATTTAAAGAAGGATGGCTTGAAGGTTTGTCTAATTCTATTTTCATGTGGGTTTGTTTTTCTTATATGCAAACTATTAGGATCAGTAATACTTGAAGCATAGGGAATTCTTGTTGTAAAAGTACCTTTAGGTGAAAGCACTGAATTTTGTGAAAGCGAGCAGTGCAAGTAATAAGAAGCTGTCAGCCTGCATAGGGTGGCATCTAGTTAAGACACCATGTTACAGTAGGCAAGGAACCAGTGATCACACAGTGAGGATGCATTTGCCTGTTTGCTTACAGGCATCTAGTTAGAGTTGGGATAAGGGAGAGATTCTCAGTGGAAGCTTGGCAGTAAGCTTTTCTTCTTCCCTGCCCCAACCCTCCTGCCTTTCTTTGTGTTACTCAAAAGTAGTGTTGATGCTGGATGTTATAAGCTACGTTTTGTTTAAGAAAATAACAAATGAAAATCAGAGGACCTGAAAAAGGCAGCCCCTTGAAAGGTTTATCTATATATGAAATAAGCTTAGGATGAAGATTCCTAGACTTCTGTATAGCCAAGAATAGTTATCTGATAATGTTTGAATAATATGTTGTATGTAGAAGTGACACTGAAATAGGATAAAAGCGTATGAGCCTAAGAAAGGCATAAACTTGTTCTGTACTCATCAGGTAATGTGCAGTACAAGGAACATTTGTTTCTATGCTTTTACTTCATATGAAAAGGGGATGGCAAGAAGGAAATTTTGACTAGTTCTGGAAAGAATATATACATTGAACAGCTTATAAAGCTGAGGAGAAATTAGATGTTCAGTGATAAAAAAAAAATCTAAATAGATGATAAAATACAATTTCATACTGCTTATTTTTTTTCCAAGGAAATCAGCTTTTTCACAGTTTGGATTTTGATTCTCTAGCTAGTAATTGAAGGAGTCATGCTTGTGATTAACTTTCATTTTGGACATCAAATTTGGTTTGTATTCTTTGTGTTTTCCTGTGAAAACAAGAATTTTCTTCCTTGTTGAATTTCAAAGAGGACAAAGCCCATTTGACAGTTGGAATAGTTTTTACCTTTTCATCTTCTTTCTTAATGTCTCATTAAATTGTGTTCATTAAATGATTATATGAAATTATTTAGAAAAGATTTTACTCCCTTAAAAAATCGAATGAATACTCTAAGTGGCTTTTTAGTTATACTGTGTTTGTGTGTATGTTTGCATTAAATTTAAGACTAATATTTTTTATAAATGTTTATTCAGAGAGTGTTTAAAACATTCCTGTGCTCTCTATAGAGTATTGAAGGCAAGCTCATTGTTTATTGATAAAATCCTCTGCTGTGTTCATGTATTGCTGTCCAATCTTTGCAGGTGCTGAAGAGAAAATTTTGGAAGAGTTTAAAGAAACACACAATGCCGACTCTCCAGATTTTCAGCTCCAGGCAATGATCCAGGCTGCTGGCAAGCTAGTACTGATTGACAAGCTGCTGCCAAAACTGAAGGCTGGTGGCCACAGGGTGCTTATCTTTTCCCAGATGGTGCGCTGCTTGGACATACTGGAAGACTACCTCATTCAAAGACGGTGAGAGCAACAATATAATGCAATTCTAAATAAACAGTGCGTTCCTCAGTGGCCACAGTATTTAACCTGTGAGTGATCTTTATTGTAACGGGATGAAATTCAAACATGTTACTGTATTTTCTGGAGTAAGCTGACTGCAAGTTGCAAGTACTGAAGTTTTTCTTTCAGATGAGTAGAAAATGACCTCAGAGAGGCTTTAATGGCTCCTCCTAGTTTACCAGTTAGTTAAATGTTTCAGTTACTCTGGAGTTGTTTGTTGTTTTTCTGCTTAATCCCAAGTATTTATTTCATTCCTTGGAGTGAGAACCTCGTTTTTACTGAAGGGTATAAAGCAGGAGACAAGATAGCATATCTTCCGCCGATGAAGTTTTTGGATACAACACAACAGTCACTCAGTTTGTTCCAACTATTTTGAGAGTAGAGAGGCATATTTTCCCTTCTTGATTTGTTTTTTTTTTTTTTTAGTTTTTTTAATTGTATATTTTAAAAACAAATAATGCCAGAAGAAAGAATATTTGCAGTAAAATTCTCCTTACAATGCATCTTTATTTCAGGTACCCATACGAACGAATTGATGGCCGAGTAAGAGGCAACTTGCGTCAGGCAGCTATTGACAGGTTTTCAAGACCTGATTCTGATAGGTTTGTTTTCCTGCTGTGTACAAGGGCAGGAGGCTTGGGCATTAATCTTACTGCTGCTGATACCTGCATCATTTTTGATTCAGACTGGAACCCTCAAAATGACCTCCAGGTAATATTGCAAGGAATGATTCAATTGAAAACTTCTTGCCTATTTCCTGTGAAATTTTGTTCACCTGCAAAAGAAATTACTGTTGTCCACTCAGTAAAAAAAAAAAACCATACAGATTATTATTTATATTGAAAGTAATAACATTTAAAGTAAGTTTTCTATATTGATTTTTTTTTTTCTTTTGTCACTATAACTGAGTATCTGTCCTGTTTCATCAGGCTCAAGCACGATGTCACAGAATAGGACAGAGCAAATCAGTGAAAATTTACAGGTTGATTACAAGGAATTCTTACGAAAGGGAAATGTTTGACAAAGCTAGCTTGAAGCTTGGCCTTGACAAGGCTGTGCTACAATCTATGAGTGGAAGAGAAAATGCTACAAATGGGGTAAGAATTAATATATTAAGATGCATGATCAACAAATTATATGAATGTATAACATTTTTATTTCTTGCTTATATCTTAGCTGGAGAATGATGGCTTTCAGGTAGAATATGGCATATATTTTAAAGTGGGGTTAATTAAGGGCAAGGCTACATGAACTGGCTCAGCCTATCTCATGCATCATTAATTGCCAAAAGCAGACAGGTAGAATCATGTTTCCTCAATTCTCATTCATTCTCATCGTTCTGTCCTTTGCATAGTGTTGATTCTTACAGTTTTTGAGCTTCTTGCAGGCTGCCTATCCATCCATGTTTTTTTTGTTTATGTTTGTGTGCTTTATTCTTTTTTGTTTTGGACTTCTTTGCTTGGGCCTTTTCTCAGGTTAGGAAGTTAAGTATGTTCCCAGGAGGAGTTTAGCAGTCATTGGAGCTAAAGTAAGCAGTTTCAATGACAATGAATTATTAAATCGTTTAAACCACTCATATAACTTCACCCTAAGAATGTTGTTGTTTGCATTCTTCTTTTAAAGGTGACTTCAGCATGAATGTTTAATTGACCAACACTACATTATGTTAGGAGTTCTTAAAATGCTAAGTGAAAAGGCAATTGATGTCATTATGTTGTTAGATATAAACATTGACTAGGGTTTAAACAACAAAACAACTCTCTCTCTTACATGTTACAGGTGCAACAGCTTTCTAAAAAAGAAATAGAAGATCTTCTTCGAAAGGGAGCATACGGTGCTCTGATGGACGAGGAGGATGAAGGGTCTAAGTTTTGTGAAGAGGATATTGATCAAATTCTCTTAAGGCGAACACACACAATTACTATTGAATCTGAAGGAAAAGGCTCAACATTTGCAAAGGTGTGCATTGGCATTCAGAGGAAAAATAATAAAGTTGTTACCACAGTAGATGGAAGGAGTGCTGAATTGCCTTCAGTGTCAATTTAGTTTTTCAGTATACTTTTTTCAGTTTTCTTCCTCAAAACTGTTGGGACATCTGTATTTCCAGTTAGACAGTTGATAGGCTTCCTTTTTTTGTTTCTTGACAGTGCTGTTTTGGAAGTCCTAAACATTGCACTTACCATTGAAAATAGACATCTTTATAGTGTGTGGTTAAGAAATCAATGCATGTTTTTTCATGTCTTCTAGGCTAGTTTTGTTGCATCTGGGAACAGGACAGACATTTCCTTGGATGACCCTAATTTTTGGCAGAAGTGGGCAAAGAAGGCTGAACTGGATATTGATGCTTTAAATGGAAGGGTAAGAGCTTTACGACAGTACTCAGTTCATTTAAATTGAAGATTTTTCTCCTCTTTAATTTCTACATTTTCACTTTTCATTTTAGAATAACCTAGTTATTGATACACCAAGAGTAAGAAAGCAAACCAGACTCTACAGTGCAGTCAAAGAGGATGAACTGATGGAGTTTTCAGACCTGGAAAGTGATTCCGAAGAAAAGCCTAGCACAAAGCCCCGTAGGCCTCAGGACAAATCACAGGGTTATGCAAGAAGTGAATGTTTCAGGGTAGAGAAGAACTTGTTGGTTTACGGGTAAGAATATACAGATTATGTATTGTGATTGTGGATAAAAACTGAAAATATGTAAATGACATATAGTAAATACTCTTTCCTCTCTTTTTCATGTTCACATGCACTCTGTGTGCTTTTTACATCAGTACTGTCTGTACTTACTAGTGAGATTTTAAATTGCTTTATATATAGGTTCCTTATATATATGTAGTTCTTAGCTTAAAGCATCCAGTGTCCCACAGCTGGATATGAGCTCAATGGTAAAATACGTAGTATTGTGATGACAGAATATTTGTTTCTGGTTTCTTATATTGTAAAGAATACCAGAATTATTGAGAGTTAATCTCTCTTTTCTAAGTATTGTGAAGAATAGCAAAGTGTATTTGTGAAGACTGGTATGGTTGTGAAATCAGGTCAATTCAGAGGTTTTTTAGCATAGTTCTCATGTTTTGATGGTACTTGATTTCAACTAATTGATGCCTTATTTTTCCCGTTGGATATACCAATCTGAATTTTTATCTCTTTTTAAGCAAGTAGCTGTATTTAACTACTATTCCAATGGGCTTCAGGAGGACTGGCTTTACTTCTAGAAAGCTGTGTGACAAGTGACTAATAATGAATTTCAGGATCAAAATAAAACTGATTCCCCAAATCCCATGACTGTAGGAATTGGCTGAATTTCCTGTTCGTAGTTTACTGGGACCATTAGAGTTAAACATATGTACTTTATTATTTTGAGTGTAGTTCAATTGCAGCTTTACGAGCAGTGAACTTATTGCCTGTTCTGTAAAATAAACATTCTTAACTCTTTGGTGCTGTAAGTGGGATTCCCCAATGTAACCTGCAAAAGCAGAATGCATTAGTGGTAATACAGGAGGTCCTAACTTGCTTGGCACCAGGAGTTAAATTGAAAGTCACAAATTAAAACACCAGTGCCCTGGCTGTTGTATTGAACATATTTTTCTTGTAGCTGGGGTCGTTGGACTGACATCCTCTCACATGGGCGCTATAAACGTCAGCTAACAGAACAAGATGTGGAAACCATCTGCCGGACTATCCTGGTATATTGCCTTAATCATTACAAAGGGGATGAAAATATCAAAAGTTTCATCTGGGATCTGATCACTCCGACTGCAGATGGGCAAACTCGAGCTTTGGTTAATCATTCCGGTATGTCTACCACAATCAAATAATGATGCTAGTAAATAGGGAAGAATTGCTTTAGTCGTGCTATGTCTTTAGTTTAAACTATAGCTGTTCTGACATGTTGTAGGATCTTGTCAGATTTTATGAGTAAGGTGGGCTTTGACTGGGTCAGTATTTAAAGGGGAAGTCACCCTCAGATGCTTTGTAGAATGCAGTGCTCTTGCTCATAAAGCAGTTTGAACAAACATTCTAACATGGTTTTTAAGTGTCACCTACTGCTGGAGTTAAGCTCTTTCAAATGGCCATAAATCATAAAGCTTGTTTCCTTATGGCCATTCAGATTCATGAACGTTTTTAGAAGAAATGTTTATATTTCTTCTTTCACTATTTTCTGGCTAGTTCTCTGAATTTTTGAAATCTTCACACCTAAATTTGCATGGTAGCTTTGGTTGATTTTGTTATTCACAATTTCCAGATAAATTATGTTGCTGTTCAGTTTTTGGTTGTCTTGTTGCCCACAATGGAACTAATATAGCAGTGATACTTAGCTGTAAATGTGTGTTTGTAATGCAGTTTGGTGTGAGAGCTTTTCTATTCAGACTGTATAAGAAATAATTGGGGATTTGTGTAGGCCTGTCTGCACCAGTGCCCAGAGGGAGGAAAGGAAAGAAAGTAAAAGCCCAGAGTTCACAGCCAATGCTTCAAGATGCTGATTGGCTCACCACCTGTAATCCGGATGTTTTATTTCAAGAAGACAGCTATAGAAAACATCTCAAACATCATTGTAATAAGTAAGTATTATTATTTTATTTAATGCTTTTTATTATATGTTTTTCAAAAGTCTGTGACTACTTTGGAATTTTTAGTAGTAAATTTTTAGTTTTTAGTAGAACATGGGGCTATTTAATAGGATGTAAAGAGCATTATTACTTCTAATTTGGGGGATAATCATCTTAGCAGATATCTGGATATTTCTGTAAGCTCTTTATGATTGATCCATTCTTAAAACATTTATGAAGAAATGTGTTTTCTACTTAATAAATAAGAATGAAATCAAATATGTGATTATTCTTAATAGCATATGGGGAAAAGAATATACCCTCATTTAAATCTGTTTCTCTTGACAACTGAACATCCTGCTCTGCTCTGCACTAGCATGGCTTTACCTTGAGCACTGTGAGCTATTTTGAGCAGCACAATATAAGATGAAAATGAAATTATTAGAGAGCATCCGAAAGAGGGCTATGTAGGTGTTGGGGGGTCTAGAGGGCAAAGTGCATGAGGAGTCACTGAGTTGGTTTGTTTGGCCCAGAGCAGAGAAGGCTGAGGGGACGAGGCCTTGTTGCAGCCTACAACTTCTCACAAGGGTAGCAGTGGGGCAGCTCAGATCTCTGCACTCTGGTAACAGTGACAGCACCTGATAGAATGACATGGAGCTGTGTCAGGTTGGGTGTTAGGAAAAGGTTTTTCACCAGAATCTTTGCTTAATTGTTGAACGAATGTCTCTCAAGTGCATCTCTTCTTTGCTTTTGGTTTGTAATATCTTAGTTATTTTTGTGTCAACTTCTTTCAACAGTAAAGATACATAGCATACAGGCGTAAAACAGCGTTGCTGAAAAGCTGTCTATGCTTTTAATACGTATTGTCTTATTAAAACTGTTTATTAGAAATTATTTATTTCAAAAGTATTTGTTGCCTGTCAACAGAAGGGGTGTGATATGAAGGAGATAAGACATTTAAAAGGTTTATTAGTTCATTTCTGGATGCTAACCAAGCTTAATTCGCAGCTGATGAGAACAGATATTTAGAGAATTATGTTAGCAAGGGCACATGCAAGTGAACTGGTTTTCGACTTTTTTCTAAACTGTTACTGAGTGTGGTTATTACATTTCACTTCCTCTTAAAGTAATTAAATTTTTTCCTGTAACATTATTTTGCTCTCCCAGGTAACGTCCTCATTACTTGTTATATCAGTTTGCAGATCAGCCTTCTTAAACTCATTTTTAAAATACTGCTACTGAAATAATACAGTAGAACAACTAGAAGGATCAGGAAGACTGTACAAGAGTATTTTCAGTTGCTATCCTTTTTTCTTCATTTCCTAGACCCACCACGATTAAGTGAATTGTAGAAGCAACGTGTTTAGCTCAGGTAAAATCAAGCTGAGGTAGAAGCCAATTGAAAGTATGAGTAATTTCCTTCATCAGATAGCAGTATCGGATAAGTAAGTGCAGGGTGTCCTGCTCTCATGTGTAACATGCATGCTTCTTTAATGTGGAGGACTCCTGAAAGGTGTGAAGAACCTCTGCATTTTGGTTTAGTTTTGTTTTGTTTTCCCTTCCTTTGGCTTGATGTAACATTTGTTATTACTTAATACAAAGATAATAGAGACCCTCAGGAGCTTATTTCTATAGCCACACAGAGAAAAGGGGCACTTTACTGGTCCTGGTTATCTAGCATGTCTGACATGTTTTGAATTGTAGAAATGACCTTGATTCAAGTCCCTACTCTTCCAAGAACTACTTGGGTAACACGTGTAAAACTGGATATCGCTCCTATTGCATCAGATCTCTAACAAGGAGCTCTCAAAACTGGTGGTGGTCTAAATTTTTCATGCAACTGGGCGATCAGATTACTGCCTCCCCAGTTACCCTTACTGCTCCAAGAGAGCAGCAATTCAACAGTAGCCGTGATGGATTTGGATACAGGGAGAAGGCAGGCAGAATAATCTCCATTTTAGCTGGTGCTGATTCTACTTCATGAACTAGGCAGCAGGGGGTGCCCTGAATTGGGTAAACATGGGAGAACTTGGTTATTTTCAGGGAGACATTTTTTCTGTAGTGATGACCTCTTTTCTACTCTCCTTGAAAATCCAGTCTGCCATTCTCTCTCCTGCCAGCTTAAGCTGTTGCTGCAACACCTGACAGCGGACCCAAAAACAAGCGTAGTGTTTCAGGGATGGGAAAAAAATAAACACGGGCAAGGAAGACTTTTCACATCCTTATGGCACTTATGTTGTGTGCAGGTAAAATTAAATAGCAGTTTGAACTATAGAGAGTAAAAATAGTTAATATCTCCTAGGGGAAATGGGGGATTATTTTTTTTCCTCCCATTCTCGGAAGCAAAAAGTTGTATAATCTGAAAAACCTGACATTCCATATTGAGGGTTTATTGTAAGGTAGTAAAACCAGATTTTATATCTCGTTTATTCCTACAACTTCTGATGTGCTTCCAAAAATGGTATTAAGGCAGCAGCTGAGGAAATTTTATGAGATAATGAAGCAGAACAGTTACTGAAAGCCATCTGCTCAGTTGTTTACAAACTTGCTTCAATACTTCAGAGGCAGTGGTAGAGTACGTGTCTAAACTTCACAAGCTGCACTAGGTAGAACTAAATGAAATGCGCCGGGGCCGGGCTGCGCTCGGTCCCTCTCTGTGCAGTGTAAGCGGTTGCCAGGCAGGCCTGTTGGAAGCCAGCAGAAAGCACCACACAGAGGTGATTATGTGCCACCATCTGTCACGCTTCAAGCCTACCATACAGCATGGCTAATCAGCCTTGGCAGGATGATGGATGAACAGCAGCAGCTGCCAAAAGCCACTGTTGGCAAACAGTCCTGAAGTTAAGAACTTTTTCCCCCCTCTGCCTTCCTCTCCAGGGTCCTGCTGCGTGTCCGCATGCTGTACTATCTACGACAAGAAGTTATAGGGGACCAAGCAGACAGGATCTTAGAGGGTGCTGACTCAAGGTTAGTGCAAGTGGAGGTTTATTTTTTTGCTTTATGATGCTGGCTTATGTAAAGCACATGTACTATAATAATTTTAGCACTTAAAGGTGCTTGTGCTTCCTGTTAAATGGGTTCACAAGCCACATTATTATTTTATCAAATGAGATGGGTAGTTTTCTTGGAGGAGGGAACAGTGTGGGAAATTACAGGTATGGATTTTTCAGTATTGCTAATATTGAAGAATTATTGTAACTCAATTTTAATTTTTCTTTTTAAAAAATCCTAAGATTGTAAATGAGTATGTTTGGGTAACCACTGGCATTTTACTCCTAAAATAGCCTAATATTTTTTCATTATTTCCTTTAAAACAATCCAAAATAATTTTCCATGCGTTCTAATTGATGTTGTGTTTTCCCCCTCAAGAAGCATGTTTACAAAATGGTGCGAACCACTTCTCTTTTTTTCTAACATTTTTGTCCAGTCATTTTTACAAATGTTTATAATGCTGTCTTTATAGTGAAGTAGATGTATGGATACCTGAGCCTTTCCATGCTGAAGTTCCTGCAGACTGGTGGGATAAGGAGGCGGATAAATCCCTTTTAATTGGAGTATTCAAACACGGTAAGTGGTGTCTCACTCTGAACAAAACTCAGTTGTAAAGCTTTCTGCGTGTAGGACTGTTCAGTCATAATATTAACAAGTATTGTTCCAAAGAACTGTTGGCTTGTATCTCCCTTTTTTTTTCTTGCCTGCATTAAAAACCTAATATGAGCTGTAAATATCAGATGCTGTTTTTAAATGTTTGCAGAACATTTGAGAAGAAAACATTACTTTCTTGGCTGTAAATAAAACAAAGCCATATTTGTTTAAGTAATAGCCAAATAGTAAGATAGATCTCCATAAACTTTGCTTCCAGCACTGCTTCACTTGCTAACTCTGCCAACCAGTGTCAAAGTGGACGGTGGGCTTAACCTCTGCTATTAATCTGTACAAGTGCCTCCTGGGCTTTGTTCCAAGCAATATTTCACAAATGTCAGTGTTGAGAACTCCCGGCTCCCTTGAGTGGGATGCAGCCTTGTTAACTTTGAAAGGCTGGGGATGCAGAGCTGGCATGATATATACAGTGAGCGATTCCTGATTATAATCCCAATTCTCTGGAGGTCGCAGAGGTATTCTCAGCAGCCCAGCCTGACTAAAGGGGAGAATGATGGCTTATAAAACCTTTCATGATTACAGTTTGGCTTGAGGCTCTACAGCAGTTAGGAGCAGTGTGTTGTAGTACAAATCCTAATTGAATTGTGCTGTTCTGCCTATGTACAGCAGCTCTGTTTTGTGGGCTCAGCTGAGGCAAGTCTAGTCTAAAAATCATTTTCCTGCAGTGCACTGTTGGGATCTGCCATTTTCCATCTAGTCAACTTGGGCAGTAAAAAAGCAAACAGCAGTTTGAAAACCATAGAGGGAACAGTGTCATCTTACTGACATGCATCATCCTAAACCTAATAAGACAGGTTCGTTGGCCTTACGTATAACCCATGTATACAGCATTTTCGCAGCCTGCACTGAGGGTTCCAGCAAGGCTGGAGCTATAGAATGTGTGTGTGTGTGCTTCCATTCACATCTGCATGTCTGCAGTAGGGAGTGTTGAATATGAAGAACCACTGCAAAAGTTACATAGAAACCTTTATAGTAGTGTGGGGTTAGTTTTGGTGAAAGATTGTCACTTTATAAAGAGATTACATTAAAAAAAGCTATTCAATTTTTACTGTTTGTTAATGCTACTGATGTTAAAATTTTCTGTGCTGATGAAATTTATCAATATGAAAAATGTTATTACACAAATGAAAACTAGTGGGGAAAAAATGCATCATTTTTTATTAAACAATTCCTTTAAAATCACAGTTACAGCTCTTTAATTTTATTTAAAAAGAAATGAACCCAGAAATTTGTATTTCACTGCCTAAACTGTTCTTTTTACAGTTGATCGTAGCTTTTTAAAAAAAAAAAAATTGCTTCCCACCCTGCAGGTTATGAGAAGTACAATTCCATGAGAGCTGATTCAACACTGTGCTTTCTGGAACGGGTTGGCATGCCTGATGCAAAGGCCATAGCTGCTGAACAGAGAGGGACAGACATGTTAGCAGATGGCGGTGATGGGTAAGGACGACATGAAAAAATTAATAAACTTTATCAGCATTGTATATGTTGGCATGAGTTCATGTGTCATATTCTGCTTACATCTTGCCTGAGGATCTGAAGTGATCACATAATGTAAAAAGTATGTAAAATTGCTTACACGGTTGAGCATGAAATATAAATGTGTAGTTTGGTACACATTCTGACGGCTTTTGTAGCTTTTTTGCTTTTCTTTCCAGAAAAATAACCTTCCAAAAGTAATGTTTATTTAAATTGTTTATTTCAAATATTTTTTTAGAGGTGAATTCGACAGAGAGGATGAAGATCCAGAATATAAGCCAACCAGAACTCCTTTCAAGGATGAAATTGATGTAAGAACTTCAAGTTTCTGTAATTACAAGCATTCGTAAACATAACTGATGCTCCATGTTTATCCTAATGTGTAATTCTTATGTTCGTGAGCCACCAGATAAACACGCCTTACAAAGATACTTTTCTGCTGTATTTGAAAGATAACATCTTTTCTTTCTGCAAACAATAACATATGGTCAGAGCTGAAAACTAAAATAACTTCTGTCTTCTCCCAAAGGAATTTGCAAACTCACCTCCAGAAGACAAAGAAGAGTCCATTGAAATCCACCCAAGTAAGACTATACTAAAGAAATGTTAAAAAGGCATAAATAGACCACTTAGGCAAAGGTGGACTTTTTATTAGCACACGAAGAAGCGGGTTGTGTTTTGGGAAAACATCATGGTAAACTTCTCAGTGCCAAATCTCTTCATGCTTCACGTGTTTCAAAACAATTATTTACCATGTTTGAATAATCCCACGTTAAGGCTTTCTGAGTTTCTAATTACATAGTAGAAATTGTGATGATAAAAACTGGATGTTTCTTTATGTTGCTGTTGATGCTTTTGCTGAGATAATCTTGAAGTTGCTGTAGATAAGTTCCTCGGCGTGGAGGAAAAGTGCCAAGTTTAAGTGAAAATAATGAAGTGGTAAATCATAAGCATAGGTGTTTTCAATGAGATGGAATGATCTTCTTAGTAACACATTTAAAGCTCTACTGCATTAATTTAAATACTTAAAGGTATTCATAATATGTTTGCATTCATAACATTGAATAATAATACCTGATAGTTATCTTTAAATGCTTCACAGTCATTTGAGTTTGTGGAGTCAGATGGTTTTATTCTATTTTTTATTTCCTACCAGTGTAGTTATCCTGTTTCTAATTTGTTCTACACCAGTAGTAATGAAGCGTATGTTCTTATCTGATCAAACAGGATGCAGTTTTAGCCTTAGAAACTTTGAAATGTTTAGTGGTGATTTTGCAGTGCACAAATACTTCTCTATTCTCTAGACAAGCACAGTGAAAGCAATTCTGAGTTAGGCCAACTCTACTGGCCCAACACTTCAACCCTGACTACCCGTCTGCGTCGCCTCATTACTGCCTATCAGCGCAGCTATAAAAGGCAACAAATGAGGCAAGAGGCACTAATGAAGACTGACCGCAGGAGACGTCGGCCTCGGGAAGAAGTGAGGGCACTAGAAGCAGAAAGGGAGGCTATAATAACTGAAAAACGACAAAAGTGAGTTTTTCTCAGTGATATTTTCCTTCAAATCTCAATTAACTTTGTGTGTTGCCAGTACTTCTGCTTTGAAAGTATAAACTAAATGGGCCTGGGGGTATCCAAACTGTTCGGGCTTGCCTTTAACTAAGTGGCTTGTTTTTTCCTTCTTCCTTGAATAGATGGACAAGAAGAGAAGAAGCCGATTTTTATCGTGTAGTGTCTACTTTTGGAATTATTTTTGATCCTATAAAACATCAATTTGACTGGAATCAATTCAGAGCGTTTGCCAGGCTTGATAAAAAATCTGATGAAAGCTTGGAGAAGTATTTTAATGGCTTTGTGAATATGTGTAGACGAGTGTGCCGAATGCCAGTCAAGCCAGATGATGGTAAGTTTTACTGACTGCAGAAATGGACATGACTATTAATGGACGGTACCTTTGTTGAAACTTGATTCCTAGGTGCAGTGATTTAGAGATGGGCGTACATCTAGTCAGTGTTAAACAGTACAAACTGATGTCATTGCAGAGCCACCTGATCTTTCTACTATGATTGAACCGATCACAGAAGAACGTGCTTCCAGAACTTTATATCGCATAGAGCTGTTACGGAAAATCCGTGAACAGGTTCTTCATCACCCACAGCTGGGGGAGAGGCTAAAACTTTGCCAACCGAGCTTGGATCTGCCGGAGTGGTGGGAATGTGGTAAACATGACAAAGACTTACTGATTGGTGCTGCTAAACATGGAGTCAGTAGGACAGATTATCACATTCTGAATGATCCTGAGCTGTCTTTTCTTGAGGCCCACAAAAACTTTGCTCAAAACAGAGGGATGGGTAATTCAAATACTGTCTCTTCTCTACACCCTGTGGGTGCTGGCTGCAGTCAAACACCACCTATTGTCCCATCCACACCAGTACAAGAAGAAAAAAGTACAGAACAAACGGAGTCTAAAGTTGAAGGATCTGAAAATCCAGCAGCCAAAGAAAAGTCTGATATCAAGGAAGAGACAGATATTGCAGATAAAGACACTAAACAGGATTGTGATGCTGAGGCTGAGACTGGCTCTGTTAAATGTGAATTGAAAGATATAGAAATGAGTACAGACGTAGACCCGAAATCAATTTCTGAAAAAGGTTCAGAAGAAGATGAAGAGGAGAAACTGGATGATGATGACAAATCAGAAGAGTCCTCCCAACCTGAAGGTAATGCTTTGGTCGGGTCAGTCCTAAGCACTTAACTTAGCTTGAGTCTTACAGCTGTTCAGACTTGTGCCACCTGGTAAGTGGCATGCATGGAGCTGTTTGGAGCCTGGATAGACTACGTTTAGCAGTTTCTCTTCTTTTCCATGTGTCAGGTGGCTAGATAAACTTTCCAAAAAAAAAAAAAACCAACAACAACAACAAAAAACCATCAAACCATAAAAGCTAAAACAATCTATCTTTAGCAGGGTTTTTTTTTTTTGTTCCCTGTGAGGGATGATTTCCAAGATAACTTACTGATCTAATAAGCATAATTTCTGTGCCAAGTGCAGAAGACTAAGGCTCTGTTGTAATAATGATGGAACAGAAGCCTGAGTTAGAAGTATGGTATCAAATATGCTTGTCTTAACCTATCTATTGAGGCTGACATTGGATGGTTGGGAACTTTTGTAGTTAATTCTTGGTCATGATTATTATTCAGCAGGAGCAGTTTCTCAGGGTAAGAATTTTGATGAAGAAAGCAATGCCTCTATGAGTACCGCAAGGGATGAAACACGCGATGGATTCTACATGGAAGATGGGGATCCTTCTGTGGTCCAGCTGCTTCATGAGAGAACATTTGCCTTTTCTTTCTGGCCTAAGGTTGGTTGGGGGTAGGATGGGATGCACTGTTTTCAGTACAGATAATATGTGGGAAGTGTGCTGCAAAAAGAGCTTTGTACAGTTCTGTGCTTCTAGTGAACATGAGACTCTATTCTGACAGTGATTTTTGAAATGGCTTTTTATTGTTCAATTGTGTACAAATTAGTGGAGGAAATGAACAGAATTGCTTTACTGTAAAACAACAAACTGCTGACAGACATGAGTTCCTTAAAGGCCTTGTAACTGTCTGAGTGCAGAATGACACCTCTTACACCGTTATTGATGGAAGCAAATTTATGACTTTGAATTCTAGATTTCATCTGCAGAGTAGTCTGCAAGGAGAGCAGAGATTCTGCAAGATCACCTTTTCAGTTTGGGATGGGGAAAAGGGTGCTGGTGACCTACATGATCTAAGCCATTATGTAATGTTGACAGATGTAATTGTATTAAGGTGTCCTGCAAATACAAGCAGCAGTTTTACATATGATAAAGCTATATCTTATTTTGGTAGCAGTGCAGAAATATATCTAACACAAATTTTTGGGGGAAAATATCAAACTGTAACATCATAGTAAATCCATACATAATTTAGTACTTTCCTTTGCAGTAAGGGCAGAGAGAGAAATAAAGTAGTAATAGTCTTAAGCTTACTAATCACCATAACAGGGCCATCTGGTTTAGGAGGGGGTGGGGTAGGGCAGGGGGGGACCTTGCTCTTAATAGGCTTATTCCTGGAGAAAGCAAGCAGTCTGTTGCAGCTGCTGAGATTTGCTTGTGGCCTTTGCGCTGTTTTGCTGTTCTGGAAGCTAACTGATGCTCATATTCCCTAACCAGCAGTATTTCTCATAGTTCTGAAGTTTCTACTACTTCAGACAGGCTAGCATGGAATGTACTTGAATACTAAAATGGAAAAGAATTATACTCATCTTTTTTGCTTTCAGTGTGTATTTTGGAAACATGAACTAAAATCTTATTTCAGTTATAGTGTAAAAACAAATCCCTAATCTATGTAGATTCATCATAAGTAGACTAATACACATAATCAGAGATTTTTAGTGTACACGCTTCAGTGAAATTTGAAGTGATAATGGGTGTGGAATGAAAATTGACATTCATTAGATGTCCCTAGGTTGGTGCTTGTTTCATAATGTTGAACTTTATTAATAGTGACGCTAATGAGGATCCACTTCCTAGGACAGAATTGCAGATCCAGCCTCTTGGATCTCAAGAATTGCAGTTTTAAAATACTCATTGCAGATGTTTTGATTTTTCCCTTCCGAACTGTTGAGTTTGCTGACAGTTCAAGTAAGAAGCGGAAAACAATTGTGAGTTTCTGTTAAAATCTGATACACTGTCCAACAGAAAACTTGATCTGTCTTCCTTCATCTCAATATAAATGCCGTTTTTAAATTCTAGTTCTATTCCACAAAATTCCGCACGTATTAACTTTTTTCAGGTGATCAGTTTATCCTGGCCTGGAAGAAATAGTTGTTTCTTAATGTCTTTCTTAAGCTTTACCAAACTAGACAGAGTAGTTATACTCATTTGAGTTTAACAGGCAACCTTCCCACTAAAGGTTCATTATGTACTTTTCCTTTACACAGGACCGAGTAATGATCAACCGATTAGACAACATCTGTGAAGCAGTGCTGAAAGGGAAGTGGCCAGTAAATAGGCGCCAGATGTTTGATTTCCAGGGGCTCATACCTGGGTATACTCCAACAGCTGTGGACAGCCCTCTGCAAAAAAGGAGCTTTGCAGAGCTCTCCATGATTGGTCAAGCCACCATCAGTGGCAGTGAAGACATCACTGCTTCTCCTCAGTTGTCAAAGGCAAGGCTGCATCCTTCTCATTCGTACAGAAAACTTCTTATCTTTATCTATAAAAAAAATAGCATTCCTTTGAATAAAATAGGAAAAATAAAAGACAGTGTTACATTGAGTAAAGGCTCTGTTTTCTGAGTTACATATTCATTTTGTTGTAAAATCAGTGAATGTAGTTAACAGAGCTGTGTTAATGTTTGGAAATCCTCATATTTCATTAGGAAGATGCACTCAATTTATCGGTTCCACGTCAGAGGAGGAGGAGACGAAGAAAAATTGAAATCGAGGCTGAGAGAGCTGCCAAAAGAAGAAATCTTATGGAAATGGTTGCCCAGTTACGTGAGTCTCAGGTGGTCTCAGAAAATGGACAAGAAAAGGTTGTAGATTTATCAAAGGCCTCACGAGAGGCAACAAGTTCTACCTCAAATTTTTCATCTGTTACTTCAAAGTTTATCTTGCCTAATGTCTCCACACCCGTGTCTGATGCCTTTAAAACTCAAATGGAGCTGCTGCAAGCAGGTCTTTCACGCACACCCACAAGGCATCTACTAAATGGCTCTTTAATAGATGGAGAACCGCCCATGAAGAGGAGGAGAGGAAGGAGGAAAAATGTAGAAGGGCTTGATCTGTTATTTATGAGCAACAAACGGACATCGTTGACTGTAGTAAGACAACAACCTTTTTGTCTCCTATTTGTTCTTCTGTGTCTAGTACTTTCTGAATGTGAATTTACAGTGTTATACACCAGCAAATAATAACGTACAGTTCTTACCCAGCCAGCTTTTGCTTTGTATTTAATTTTGAACAAAACAAAATGTTGTTTATATCAAGTTTTTACTATAGCAGATTGTGATTTAGTTTTAACTCACTTGTACTTTCAAAAAGACATTTTTTCCTTTGAAATAATAGTATATTATAACATTTTGAGACTTAAGTTTACCTTCTCTCTTCTGTAGGAAGTGATGGTCTTGGGGACCATTAACTAATAATGCATGAAAACTGTTCTGTTCTTTAATGTTCAAAGATTCTAAATTTACAAAATCCCCCAATGTGACTGCTTTACGTAGTGGAAACATGTAAATCTTATGAACTGCTGTCTTGAGCCTTTAACTCTAGTCCCTGAAATAATTTCTCCCAGGTAACTGCTGCCTCAAAGTGAGAACTAATGCTGGTGTTAATGTTTTCAGGAGGATGCAGAAGTGACCAAAGCTTTTGAAGAAGATATGGAGGCCCTACCAGCAAGGAACATTCCATCTCCTGGTCAACTGGATCCAGACACTCGCATCCCTGTAATCAATCTAGAGGATGGGACCAGGCTGGTGGGAGAAGATGCTCCCAAAAACAAGGACTTAGTTGAATGGCTTAAATTGCATCCTACTTACACTGTAGATATGCCAAGTTATGTACCAGTAAGTATGTGATTTTTAAAAGTGTAGTATTAGATTAGTATGGAAGTTAATTTTACAGATATGGAAATAAATTTCTTCAAATTGGGTGTAGTCATTGGATTTCAGTGGAGATTTTCATCCTAGCCACACTTACTATAGTATCTAAACATTCAGGAGGCACCAGGATTTCTATGTATGTTCAGGAAAAGATTTTTTTGAGGGTAAAGTAATTGGCCCCTTCTTAAAATTTTTGGTAGAAGAGATGTAGTAATTCTTGATTTTTGATGAGAAAATGAAAAGCTAAAAAGCAACACATTTCTCTTCTTTTCAGAAGAGTGCAGATGTGCTGTTTTCCTCATTTCAGAAGCCGAAACAAAAACGACACAGATGTCGAAACCCTAATAAACTGGATATAAACACCTTGACAGGAGAAGAAAGGGTACCTGTTGTAAATAAGAGAAATGGGAAGAAGGTAAAAACTAAGTTCAGTGGAATTGTTCAAATTGTTTAATAATGTCTTTGTATGTGGAAAGCTGGCTTTCTGTTCCAGACTTTCTTCTTTAAAAAGTTTAATTTGGCACTGACATTTATTCTTACTATCACTCAATCTTTAATTTCTCCTTTACTAATGGTATGCTCATACTAGTCATTTGAGTTGAGTAACTCCTCTTTTTTGAAACTGTATAGAATGTTATTTCCTTATATCAGGTATGAATTTAATTACTAGCACTGCCTGGACTGTGATGATTTGCTGTATTTTTTAAACATGGTCTTTTTAATTCTTATATCATTAGGTAGTTTTAGTTCAGTTTTCCACCATGTGAATTGAGATTCTTTACTTTCATCCTTCATAGATGAAAGTGCACAGATGGAAAATGTACAGATGAACAGTAGCAGTTTTGTTGTTTGGGTTGGTTGTTTGGTTGGTTTTTGTTTGTGTTTTTAAGTATTACCTTATCTTTTGCATTAGATGGGCGGAGCTATGGCCCCTCCAATGAAGGACTTGCCAAGATGGTTAGAAGAAAATCCTGAATTTGCTGTTGCTCCAGATTGGACTGACATTGTTAAACAGTCTGTAAGTGAAACTTTAATTCCATGCTTCACTCTAGGTTACAGCACAGGAAAGTTGAAGGTTGTGTAAATTTTTGCAGGCAAGCACTGATGATTAAGTCCTTCATCTCATAGCTAGTAGTTCTGAGCTGAGGAAATTGTAATGTCAGGATGGGAGTTAGCCAGCTAAGAGGAAAGATGATAGAAGGCTTCCCTAGAGAGGGATTGCAGTATATGGAAAAATCAGGTACAGTAAAGCAACCTTAGCATTAGTTACTTGTTTCTGTTTATTATTTTGTATTTTTTTCATTTAGTAAGCAGCAATTTTAATAAATACAAGTGTTTATACATTAAGCAACTACTAAACTAGGTGTTTTTCACATGCATAGCAGAAACAGTAATCACCTCTGTACTTTGTAGCATCAAAGAGTTACCTTTGCTAACTGTTATTTGAAAATACAGTGTATGGTTCTGCAAATACTTCTTAAAATACCACTCCCTATACTGGAGTTCACTGGGAAGTACAATGAGCTACGGTGTTTTAGCATGATTTATTCTTCTGCCCTGTTTAAATAGGCAAAACATGTAACTTTGTTTTCTTCAGTTTTCCTTATGTGTTCTAGTGTTGCTCACTTTAGTAGCTAGTTACTCATGATTTACCAGGGTTGAAAAGAAAACTGCTTTTTGAATTAAAAAATAACGTGGTAAAATCCCTTCAATTTCTTCCATTATAGCTATTAACTGCTGAAAGCTACAAAAGCTAATAGAGAATAAAACTCCTTTCTGCATCCCTTTCTCAGGGTTTTGTTCCAGAGTCTATGTTTGACCGTCTTCTCACTGGACCTGTTGTGAGGGAGGAAGGAGCAAGCAGAAGAGGAAGAAGGCCAAAAAGTGAAATTGCCAAAGCAGCTGCAGCAGCTGCTGCTGTAGCATCAACTTCGGGAATCAACCCACTACTAGTGAACAGTCTGTTTGCTGGAATGGACCTCACCAGCCTCCAGAATCTACAGAACCTGCAGTCTCTCCAGCTCGCAGGCCTCATGGGCTTTCCGCCAGGGCTAGCAACAGCTGCTGCTGCTGGGGGGGATGCTAAAAATCCGGCTGCCATGTTGCCTCTGATGTTGCCAGGGATGGCTGGATTGCCCAATATGTTTGGACTAAGTGGATTGTTGAATAACCCAATAACAGCTACTACTGGAAATGCCACTACTGCTTCCGGTCAAGGAGAGACTGAGGATGGCGCTTCAAAAGCTGAAGAGAAGAAAAATGAGAATGAAGAGGAGAACAAAGACTCTGAGAAAAGCACAGACACTGTTTCTGCTACTGACTCTGCGAATGGATCTGTCAGTGCTGCTACTGCGGCGACTACCGCCACTGCCACCACTACCACCACCACCAACACTGGATTGCCCACAAACCCTCTGGCCTTCAATCCTTTCCTGCTGTCTACCATGGCTCCTGGCCTGTTCTATCCATCTATGTTTCTACCTCCGGGACTGGGAGGATTGACTCTGCCTGGTTTCCCAGCACTAGCAGGACTTCAGAATGCAGTGGGCTCCAACGAAGAGAAGGCTACTGACAAAACTGAAGGAACTGCCTTTAAAGATGAAGAAAACCTGGAAGGCAGTGATGCAGAGGAGAGCCTTGATAAAACTGCAGATTCCTCCGTTTTAGAAGACGAAATAGCACAGGGTGAAGAATTAGACTCACTTGATGGGGGGGAAGAAATAGAAAACAATGAAAATGATGAATAACCAGTACCAGTTACAGTTGAAGTGTTTTAAACTTTTGACAAGTGGTAGTCCTACTGTTTACACTCACAGTTAATGTCCATACTTAGTTTTTATAAGCTGTTCTGTAACATAGTGTAGCAAAAAAAAAAAAGTTCAAGTCATGTTATACAGATGTGTCAAAAGGTATCTTGGTCATTAAGTATTGTGCAGTGCATTATTTATTATCCCTAGGAGAGATGAAATTTGAGAGGTGATCATGTCTTTTTAAGGAAATTGACATAATGCTCTGCTTTTTTTTTTTTTCTTTTGGTACCATTGGTATTATGAAAAGCAGCAATTTGTAATCAAGTGGCACTAAATAGAAGGAAGTGCTGCTTAAAGGAAGGATGAAGTTATATATTTAATTTTTTATTTTTTATTTTGTTTTGCTGTGAAGGTCAAGATGAAATTTACCATACATATCGTACTCGCGCTTCATTTTGACTGTATGGGAGTTCACCCGCTCACATGCGCGCACACACCCACACACACACACTCTCTCTCTGACAATCTTCATGATAGTGTGAATGTCTCTGTCTTGAGACGCAGCAATAATAAGGCAGCTGTTGAATGTGAAGAGTACCTTTTGGAAATTTACCCGCGGAGAAGGTTCTTACAGGATAAAGCTACAGTTTAATCGTCTCGTGATCTTGTAATGCACTGGTATAAACAAAAAGAAAAAAATCAGGTACCTTTTTTAAATTAAAGGACTTTGTTACTTTAGCCACAAAGCTAAACAGCATTACCTCAACTCTAAACTAGCCTTGAAGTTTACAGACATGACTTTGTAAATGTATTGTTTTTCTTTGTTGTGATGTCTTTTTATTTTTTTTTTTTCTTTGGAAACTGCTATCATGTAAGATAAGATGTAAATTGCTGCCAACTGTAGTAATGATGCTTTTAATAAAAGTGACCCATGATATGCAGAGATGTAATTATAAAATGTAGTGTTTAGGGACATCACAACTGGTGTTCATGTTTTATATTTGCATTGTGGCTTTTTGCAGCGTTTTCTGCTATACTCCCTAATAGATTAGTGGCTGTAAATGCTGAACTTATTGTCTTCACGGGACTAGGCAGGAAGAGAAACCCTGAATTACCTTCATATTTTTGACTCTAAGTAACTCTGCAGAAAAGCACACTAAAAAGCCTACTTTACTCCTTCAAAAGGGGCATGAGAGACTGAGAATACTTTAAAATGTGTTCAGCATGTGATAATATGGTACACTGAAGAACAAAAGGGCAAAAGAAAAATGAGGCTTTAATAGGCACAATATCTAGGTCATTTATCCTTGGTTAATGGGTAGAAAAACACAATGCTGTAGTGACAGCAAGGAATACAAAGGCTCTGTGGTATCCTGTAGACCAGAGCTTGTGATGCCAGAAACCACTGTGTCAAACAACCTACATGAAACTAAAACTGACCCACTTTTCATAAAAACCAGCGTCTCTTCTGGAGGGCTACCGATTTGTACCCTTTTGTGACCTTTGATATTGGAGATAATGTACCATTTGAGAACTGATGTTTTCATATTGTTGTCACCTTGACACACACGTACACAACCGTCTTGATAGTGAGGATAAAAGGTTAGGTCTGCAGTAGAGTACATGAAAAATTAGCTCTTTGAGTAGCCAGCTGTGGGTGGACCCCTGTCTTATGATTAATTTTACCTGTGCTTTTGGAGAGCTGCAACCCTCTCACATCCCCTGTGAATTTGCACAAGAGCTCGAATTAAGGAGTACTGCAAGGCCAGAACTCAGCCGTGAGGAGGATGCGTTACAAGGGGTGAACTTGCCCTGAAAGGAGCGTTCAACGAACAATGAAAGTAGATGAGAAATGAAAGCTTAGGAAGTGAATTTGGTGTGAATGAATCACAGGCATGCACTGCTGAAATGAATAGGTGGCAGAATGTCTCGTAGTGCCACTTAAATAGATCATACGGAGTTAATGAAGGTCAGGAAGGATTTCCTCCTGCCGTGTCCGTCACTGGACAGCTGACGAGGTGTGTTATTCCTGCCTCTTTCTAAAACATTGCACGTAGATCAGGACAAGAAGTGAGAGGCTGAAGGCCAAGGTATATTAACTTGATCTGGTGTGTTGAATCCATTCTATCTGTTATTTAAGTTGTTTAAATGACTGGTGTCTTATTTTGTCTTCTGTTTCTAGAACTTCCCCTGTAAATGTGGCTAGGTGCTTCCTGTTGTGTGTATTTCACATACTGATATAAAATAGCTCTTTTCTAAATTCAGTTTTATAATTCCCAGCAAAGATTTAAGCAGACTAATGATATCCCTTGGGAGGCCCCTTTTTAATTGGCAAGAATAGAAATTATATTGTTAAATGCCACGCGAACCCTTTTCATTCTCCTAACCCTCTTCCTCTGTCAAAACGAGGGGGAAATTCAGGTAACTGCCTACTTCTGCCTGCAGGTTTTTGACACTGAAACATCCAAGTCATGACATAGGGTGTCCGAGGGACATAGTAAGCAAATCTTACCCCTATTAGAAGCATTCCTCAAAGCAGTTATTACTCATCTGTGTTTCCCGTTCAAAGCAAAACTGAAACTGGAGAACTGCTGTAGCAGCGTGGATGCTGTGATGGTGGGGGAGTCTCTGGGCTTTTCCGCTTGCTTTCCAGCTGCTCTGCTTCCTCCAGGTTAAGCAGACTGCTCACCTGTTGGAAAGAAGGCAGAGTTTGATTTTGGAAAGGATATGGGCCTTGGTATGAAAAATGAAGTGGGGGGATTGCCATCTAATGTCCAAGAAATGTATTACATGAAAATATGAAGGTTTTTCTTTAATAAGACAGAGTTTTTAATATGTTAATTATTGCAGTGATTCTCACAAAGTTTTAAAGTGTGTCTAAATGAATAAAAGCTTACGTGCGTTAAGATGATTAGAACATGCTATCCTCAACTTGATTCACAGCTGGAGCACCTTCCTGCCCATCTCAATTGGAAGCCTTCTGCCAGTACCTGTGTTTTGCTGGACCCCTCCCTTATGCTCACAGAATTGCTAATGGGGAATGTCAAGGAGTACAAGTGACTTTGGAGGAGCGTGTATTTGTGTCAAAGTATACAATGATCTGCATGCTGACGCAGCCTTTCCTGGGTACGTGGCGTGCAGCCCTGCCAAGAGAAACAGCAGAACAACAACAAATCTGCTCAGGCTTCCAAGGACATATTTTCTAAGAATTTGCAAGAGAAATCTTATGATCCTATTTGTAAACCTAGGCTGTTGAGGAGAACTGGTTGAAAACTCACTGATGATGTAGCAGACAAGTTCCCAAACCAGCCCAAAGTATCTTCTGTTGGCTTTGGTCTCTTGTTTCATGTCAGTGTCAAAAACTGTGTTGTGTACAAGTGTGTCACTGATTGGAACAGCACGTAGTTTTCTTCTGTCAAGGACCTTTCCAATTCAGTGCAGCAAAAGAAGCACTCTTTCATTTGAGAGACAAGAGTTTGGGGGATGGGGAGAAGTAATCAATTGTATTTCCAGTGCTGAGCTTCCCATTGAGTTTCATCTTGCCTACCGCCAAACTACTTGTATGTGCAGAGCTCCAGCTGCCCCACGTCGCACACTTCAGCTCTCCCCTTGGTGTCAGGACTGGTTCTGGTGGCAGCAGGAAGCACCCAGGGCTCTGAGCCCTTGAATCCCCACGCTGGGAGCTGCAGCCCTGTCACCACTTCTGGCTGCATTGGATGGGGGAGTGCTGGCTCTGCTGGAAGCGATGCCTTCAAGAGGCCTTGAAATTTGGCATTTTGGGCAGATATTCTAATCACCAGCTTGAGTCAGCTGCTCTGATTAAAATTCCCAAAGGAAATGGATTGTTAGAGATTGGCAGTTGCTGTGAGTGAGGTTTGATGAGTGTTTTGTAAGCAATCGAAACACTTCCACACGGGAAGTAAATGTCCAGTAAATGTCCAGTGCTGTCTGAGTGCAACCTTGGTTAATTTGATGATGATTTGATGCAAACCAGCAAATATTTAGGATAACAAAACATGCAACAAAAATATATTTTCTAAAAGGGGATAAGTCCATATCAATGAATAGTTTAGGTTTTTCACCTTGCATAAAATTGCTGTCAACATTGGTAAAACCATCAGATCTTAATGACTGGAGCCATTTGTGTTGCAGTAGCTTAATGCTTGTAGTTTGAGGTCTGTTATTCGTAGTCAGTCTTTGCTTAGAATTTAGACACCAGTGATAGTCACGAGTCAGAGACTTCATTAAAATCCTGGTAACTGCAGCCCACTTTAAAATCCAAACCACCCATTTAGGAACCTTGCTTAGAGCATGGAGATGTAAGAGCACGTTGGGGCATCTCGCCGTGTAAGTTACATTTACGTTTTGTTTATTGTTCCCACTTTTTCTATGTGAGTCTATTGGCCCAAGCAGTGTACAGACCTCAAGCTTTGGCTTTGTTGGTTTTTTTGGGCAGTCTCATTTGTAAGCTGAATGGCAGCAGGCCATGAGGTTAACCCCTCTGGTGCTGGAGGCAATTCACGCTGTGGGTGAGGAATGGCCGGCTCTGCTCTCAGCGCTTCTCCAGCTCTTCCCCTCTACGATGCTTTGCCCTTCGGCTGGAGGTGCTCACAGGCACCAGTAGGGCACTGAGGGATCTCTGCACCATCGGCCCCCTCCCATGGGCTCTGGCTGCTGTGGGCCTGAGCAGGATTTGCATTTTGATGGTGCTCCCTCGGCTCAGAGGCCCTGCAAGGAAACTGGGATCCTTCGTTTTCCCTTTTTCTTCCCCCTCCCCCCCACCTTTTTTTTTTTTTTTCTAAAGGCTAGTGGAAAATAAGAGACATCCATTGTATCTCACTGCGGAGGCATTGTTCTGTACCAGACAAAGATGGCATATTTCTGCCATCCATAGTTTCTGCTCCTTCAGCCATGGCTGGCTACTGATGAGCAGCTGTGCAGGCTCTGAATAGCCCCAGGCATTTCCTAAAACCATTAGAATTATGAATTTTCCCCAAATGCGTGCCAAACCCCTCCCAAAAATATGTAGCAGAAGGAGGGAAGCAAAGCCTTTGCTCTTTGTCCAGAACTTGTTTTCTAAATTCAAACTTTCAAGGCAACTGTGCTCTCATAGAGAGCATGTAACAAGTTCTGCCAAACGTACCAGCTGATTCCAAACTGACCTGCACAAACACTGCTCAGAAGGATATTTTGAAAGAAGTGTTTTTATTTTCTCTTTAAGGATTTTTGTAATGGAAAGAGTGAAGGGTTTAAATTGAGCTATGTAATTCTGTTTTACGCACTGGGCAGGTGCTCGTGATGAATAGTCAGAACTGAAGAAAATGCTAAAAATCAGTCCTGTTCCTCATCTGCCACGCATCTGACACTTGTGAGGTATGGTGGGGGCTGTCAGCACAAGGACGTGCTTTTCCTCCCAGCCTTCTTCAAGTTCTCCTCGGCCAGACTGGCCATCTTCTGCTGTCTCAGTCTGCAGCAGGCTTGCCATCTGCTATATGGCTAATCAATTCACAAAGGTGCTGCTGGGCAGTGCAGGCTCCCCGTCCTCTGCCAATATTTTCTGGAAGTTGTCAAACATAGCTGAATTTGTTCTCAGCTGTCACAATCCTCGCATTGATTCCAGCTTGTAGCACTCCGGTGACCAGTGGGGTATGTGCTTTGTTTTGCAAGCAATGCTTGCTCTTTTGTGCCCGCTTTGTGAGGCTGCAGAGCTTCCCAAAGCCTGGGCGAGCGTGGCTTGAGAGCTCCCAGTTCTTCGGGTGCAGGCACTGGGTGCCACCCCCTGCCCCTGGGCAACACCAGACTCTGGATTTGGTCATCGTCGCTGCTTCTCAGTGCTCCTTTGATCATGCCTGGGTCAGACGCAAAGGCTCTGCACCCAATTCAGGTACCCAAAGCTCAGGTGCTGGTGTGGAGTGGCAGGATTTGTTTCATTTATTTATCATTTCTTTTAATGAAAGATCTTCCCTCCAGCCTTCCAAGCACCAGTTGCTACCAAGGAGCACCTTCTGTCATTGGCTCTGTACAACAGCACTAAAAAGGAGCATTCGGAGAAAGAAAAAAGGCATCTGCTGGCTTTAAACCACTCCGTGTTTCACTTGAGTGAGCTTTCCCATTGCTCTGTTAGCTTTCCTTGCCACATGAAGAATTGTTGTCATTTCTTACCTATATTTATATTTAACCCAGAGAGTAAAAGCAATTTTCGGGAAGCCGCAAGAGGCAGACACCAAAACATTTTTCCACCTTTTCTCAGCGCACGCTGCTAAATACCGTGTGCTTGTCAGCTCCTCCTGGCATCCTTTCCCCATAACAGCCTCCAGTGTGAATTTGGATCAACTCCTCTGCTGGGGCAAGCGGGGATCACGCTATGCAGTGACAGCATCTGAGTACGTGTGGCATTTGACTGCAGCTATTTCCTCGGTGGATATTTTCTTACCTGGCTTGGGATAGAAATTGGGAAACAGTTTCTACCAGCAGCTTTGGTTGTATACAGGCTGAAGATGAATGGGTTCTCTTGCACGCTGTTCAATAAAGTCTTCCTAAAGCAGTTTCAAGCTGGCGTGCCAAGAGGATCTTAACTAAATTGGAACAAATTGTGTGTCTCTGCTACGTGCTTCACTTATTCCTCATGGAGAGGTCACACTGTAGATCTCTCTTTAGTGTCCGTTGTTTAGTGACCTGAGCAATGTTTGAGTGCAGTGATCCCCTGGTTTTCTTGCTGAGCCTTTGCTGTTTGCACTACAGAAAAAATCTGAAAGCCATAGTGGAGCAATTTCTTTTTCTTTATGTTTATCTTCACTCTTCCTGATAGGTGACGTAGAATATGCTGTGAGCAGGCAAAAGCAAATTAAATCTCCACTGATCTCACTGATGACCGATGAGCAATAGGGTTGCGTGCAGAAGTCATTGTGTCTGCTGCTTGCAGCAAACAAAAGTCACCATGGGAGAAATCAGAACCAGACTAGCATTGGAATCCCGTTATGTGCCACCCTCATTCCAGGTGGCCACGGTGCCCTTCTGGCACAGGGCTGATGCAGGAAGGCCCAGTGGAGCCCTGCTTGCACCGGTGCATTTTGTGTTCTGCATTGGTGCCTGGGGGCCTACAGCAGTTGTGGGAAAAGCTTCCCTGGCTGATTCTGTAATCCGGAGGGTGCTGCGTGTGCTGGTACAAAGCTCTCCCTGTCCCACCATGGGCATAATTCTTGTCTTCTGACAGAGGAGGGTGGGAAGGGAGCCAAGGTGACAAAAGCCTTCTGTAGCCAATAGGGAAATAATGGTTTCATGGCGTGAAAATGCAGAGCCTCTCCCTTGTGATTCCTATCACCTGCTATCAGCCACTCAGCCTGGCACACAGGCAGCCGAAGCATCACTGCAAGGTGTGGGCAGGGTGGGAACGTGTCACCTTCTGGTGCTCAGTGGACAGGTGCTGGTTAGCTTTAAATCAGAGCGTGTGCCCAGCTGGCGCAGGCTGCATGCATGCGCTTGGCTGTTGGGAAGGTGAGGATTCTGTCCTGAAGACCAAAATGTTTCCAGGTGACCTCTGGCCTCCCACCTTCCTAAAGGTTCTGTCCTGACAGTTTTACTCCAGTGCTTTGTGCAAGCTCATTTTCAAGGTCTCGTTTACATCCTGTTTGCTGGTATGTTTATTCCCCTTGCTTTTGTTACTGGTTTACAGTCACACCATTTCTTTGTTTGCTGGCACTGATCTCATGTGACTGCAGTTATCTTCCCCACAGCTAAAGTGCTGAAGGCAGTTGCTGAAATCCTGGCAGCGACGGATGCAACACCAAGTGTTGTGGTGAGATCTCCAGCTGGGAACAATCCTTAATCCATCTGATATTCCGCAAGTTGGAGTCCTGGTCCTCTTGGAAATGAAAGGCGTAAAGATGAAAATCTCACCCTGAAGTACAGGCAAACTGGTCTAAATTGGTTTAGGAATCACATTTGACTCTAAGAAATCAGCCAAGCCACGCACACGTAATTCAGGAAGATATAAATGGCAACGTGATAATGAGTGGACACCTATTTTAAGCATGATCTATGTTTTTACGAAAATTCATTACAATAAGCCTTATGATACCGAGCTCTTCAATGAATTT